TGGCTTTGTTCACATATCTCACTTTTCTGACTGTGGGCATTGCTTTAAAATATTGTCTTTGCATGGCTTTCTGATCACTGTTTGTGTATTCCTGGAATTCTGAAATTAGACTAGTAACTTGAAAAGATCACCCTACATCATGACTACTGATGCAGAGATTTTGATGGAGCGCTCGGTCTATCCTGTGTCTTCTCAAGCTTTGTTTTGGACTGAGATATGTGGGGCCTCTTTCCTTTTTTTCTCCTTAGCTACCTGTACTGAAGTACATCAGTGTTTTTCTAACCTGTATGTTCATTAAACTACTAGCTAAAATAACAGAATCTGATGTCTCCCTGCTTCACCTTTTCAGACAGTGATGTTTTTCAGAACAGTTAGTCATTGGGTTACCTCAGTGATAGCTTCATCTTTGTCTTCCTGAAACGTGATCTGATCACAACAAGATTGTAGGATTTTTCTGCTGCCTTTCTCCCAGGTTGCAACATCCTCTTTGATGGCAAATTCTGTGATTATCCTGATCTCATTCACATCTTTGCTGCTTAAGCACAGCTTGATTATGTGTGCATATATGTACACAAGCATACATGCATATGTATGTATGTATATGTATTATATACACATAATACTGCACATATTCTTATTTGGTGTCTTACTTCAGTCATATTCCCCCCCACATTTCACATTGCAGGAGACATTGTGTCTTCAAAGAAATTCTTTGATACCTGATTTTCAACATCCAATTATCTTTTGTGCTTTTTTTTTAATGTCTTTTTTGCTTCAGACTGTGTCAGGGTAATCAGTGTTCTGTGGCTTCTGTTATGAGGTTGTTTTCGCCATTCTGTGCGTTCTCTGTAATTTCTTGTGTCTGTAATATTGGTCTGACATGCCTCATATTTTACTTCTTTTGTGCACTTACTTAAAAACATGCACATAAGCACTCAACTGCCCAACAGGAGTGATGCCCTGCAGAAAGTACATCAATTACAGTGAAAGTATAGTGAAAGTATAACCACTGGTTTTGTGCTGTGCTGGTAACTGTAAGGAATTATATTAACGTATGCAGGAGAAATCTATATTCAGATTTCTCCCACAGCTTAGTCCTGCAAAGGTGTTCTTTGGAAATGCGAGGGAAAGAAGAAGCTGGGAGAGGCATCTGAATGTGCTTTGAAGTGGTTGGATAGAAGGAATGTCAAGAAAATGGTCTTTTCTGTTTTGCATTTGCATATGAACACTTGCTTACTTGCAACAGTGTAGCTCTGAATTTGACTGAAGAAGTTTGAATTCTTCTCACTTCTCTGCAGTGAAAGTAAGCCCACCTTTATACATCGAGCTTTCTAGGTTTGGAATGAAGATGTTGTTGTGAAATTGTGCTAAACCCAGCAGTTCTTGTGGGAGGGAACGTATTGTTTTAGTGTAAGTAATAGGATGTTATGCCAGAAGGACATACCTTGGAACCTTTGAGACAAGATTTTGTCAGTGGTTAAAAAATGGAGCATGTGCATTCTTGAGAGATAAATGGAGAGTCTGGCTGGCCTGTTAATTTTTGTGCTCACCTCCCTTGGGGAGGTTGCTGGGCAGAGGGTGGGCTACCAAATTAAAGGCTGGGAGACTTACGTCAGCACCCAGAACTGCACAAGAGGAAACAAAGTTGTTAGGCAGATATGTGAAGGGGAGATACTAGCTTGGTATCTTTTGGATTCTGTTTGCTTGGAGAAACAGGGGGCTACCTAGAGGATGTGCATGTGAAGAATGTGAATCTGGCAGCAGGCATGGGACTCAGCATTGGGAACTAGGAGGTACAAGAGCTCATTTTTCTTACAGCAGGCACTCCTGCTTGCAGAACACATGCTGTTGCAAAAGTGAAATATAATACTGTTCACTGAAATCCTTGCCTGGGCCTAAGTCATTGGCTTGTGTTTCTCACATTCTCATTTGTTTTTGGGAACTATTGAGTTTGCTAGCCATTCTTGAAATTGTTCTTGCGCAGACTTCTCAGCGCTCATTTGGATTCTTAAGCAAATAACTCTTAAACCATTGAAATTGGGAGTGAAATCAGCTGTTGAGAGCAGGAAAGCTTTCCCAACCTGCTAGTTAACTTGTGGAGCTTTTTATTGCCTGTGGTCCATTTTGTCAGCATTTCTGGTTCTCTGCACTGTTGCAGTGGTGTGCAGTCCTGTGCTTTCTTAGCCATAGGGGATCCACAGGTAGCATAGCATAAATAATGAAAGCTTTATTTAAAGAGCGAAAATATGTATTTTTAAATTGTTTCCCCTCTTTTATTTAAACTTCCTGCCTTGCCAAATGTTGAAGGATTTTAATCTGTCTTGAGGAAAGCTGCAAATTATTAGAACTGCTGATTTATGGAAACAAAGCATCGTTTCTAGACTGCAGGACAATGAACACTTGTTAAAGCTTATGTTTAGCACAGACTCATAATTTCTGTTGCTGAAGAATGGAAACTGGTATCTGAGTAGAAGTATAAGTGTGTAGTGTGCACAGGGAGTAGCCAGTACAGAGCCATAGACACACCAGGGTCAAAGATGATGATTAAGGGTTGTGAAACTAAGGAAGAAGTTCAAGTGGAAATCCGGAGTACAAGGAAGCAAATGAGAAGAAAACAGCAAACAGGTATTGGCTTGGGTTGTAGCAAGCCCTGAGTTAGAGGTGGGGAGAGCCTACCAGAGACATTATCCTAAAGATGCGTAATTTCTTACTGTACTAGTTTGCTGAGTGGTTAAAGTGCCAGTTGATAAGTGGTATCTTTTTAATTGCTTCCAGAGGCACTTTTTATTTAAAATAACTTCCCTAATGCTTTCTTTGTTTTTCTGTTTTTCCCCTACAAAAGCTAGTGTTTTTGAGCCAAGTTAAGACTACTGAAGACTGAATTCTTCTTGGTAACTTTCTACATACCTGTTATGCCATGGCTTTTCAAGTTGTCTTTTTGAAACACAAATTGCAGTCCACTTTTGGAGGTAAAATGGGTTACTTATTGTAACTGTGACTTGTCAGGCAAGCTGAATGTCCTTCAGAGGATGTCCAGAGGCTTTTAAAAATCCTATTAGAAGATTTTGTTTGCAGATGGTACAGAGGATAAAAAAAAAAAAAATCAAAAAAACCACACCACCCTATCCATCTAACTGCTGCCTCTTTTCTCAAGGGCAGATTACTCTTAAGGTGCAGCCATGGCTGAAATTTTTCTTTGTTGTGTATAAATAAAAGTAAGACTCTCAAATATCAAGGGTTCTTGGAAATGAATTTAGGAATACGAAGCACTAAGCTTTACATATTTTGTGCAATTCATTTATGTTAATTAAAACAATATAAATGTCACAATCTTACTGCAAATGTTAAGTCTGAATAGTGTGTTGGTTCTAAGCGTGAGCTTGCAAGGATCAGAAGGCAGTTTTGTTGAATGAGTGTAGTGGGATGAATGAGGTGACCTTTTAGTGCCTCTTACAAGTGATTGCTGAGTAAAGTAGCAAGATTTTTGACTGATGGTGAATGTGTAGGGCACAGATGAGAAATGCAAACACGTGTATCTGCCACTGCAGTTTCTTTAATATGTGGCAAAAACAGGGTGGAATTTCCTAGTGAAAAGCTGAGCTATTCAGAAGGATCCTTTTTGATACACACTGCATGCAGGATTTACTTTACTTTGTATCATTATTGTTTTCAGATGGCATTATCTGTGTAGGATATCCACCCAGATATGTGAATAACAAAGCATGGCTTGCTAACAGCGCAAAGGCTACATGCTTTTTTTTTTTTAATCTTTTTTTTTTTTTAATATAAGAATCTGGGAATAGAATGGTCGGTTGAAATGTCAACAGTGTTTGTTTTTATTCAATATTGACATTTTCTACCCTGTCAACTAAGTCTTGAAGATGCTTTGGAGTCGTGAGTGGAAAAAGAAATCTAAAACTTGGGTAGGCAATCCTCTTTGATTCTGTTTCTGAAGAGAGCTGTTGTTTATGCTCATATTTCAATCTCCTTCTCCAAATATAAGGTCGGTGTGAGTGGTCTCTTGGATCTTGAGAGAAATGTGTGAACAGTACTTATTTTGGAATTAATTGTAAGGATTGCACACTACCTGAAACTATCTGTTTTTAAAAGTAGCTATAATTAATATTGTCATGATAATAATAATAATGACATTCTAGTATGGTGATTTTATTTTATTTTATTTTATTTTATTTTATTTTATTTTATTTTTTTCTGCTACAGCTAGTGTTAATTCTTTACATGAAAATTGTCACTTTCTTGAACTGTTTGATTGGACAGCAAAAGACCTAAGTATTTTAGTGGTGTATGCATACGTGAGAAATTTTGCTTCATGAGCAGCAAATAACTTGAATTGCTTAAGACTGCCTGTTTATTATTTGAAGCATAGTAAATAGCATTCAGCTTTGTTGTTTTGACCTTGTAGTACACAACTTTCCTTTCTGGCTCTTGGGCAATACTGACTAGAGAGTTCTTTCCCGAAATGTTTTGTTCAACTGCTTCTTTGCAGGTAGACAAGTGTTTCTTTAACACCAGTTTATTGTATCTGTTGTACATGTACTGTACTTGTTAAACCTGCCTGTAGTGTTTTAAAGAGTTTTTGAAAAGTGTAATACCAAATAATGCAAAGCAGATGTGGAAGTCTACAGTAGAAGACATTGATTCGATGCTGTTAGCTTCTTTCTAGATAATTAAAAAAAAATAGAAAAAAAGAAACCTGTTTATTGGATGAGTACCTGTAAATTCCTGCATAAATCAGTTTTTTTCTAGGTAAATTATTCTTTGTTGACTTAGTTGCCAGATAGTTGGAGATTTTTTTTTTTTTTTTTTTTTAATTGCCTTTCACAAGTCTTACTCTCCAGTTTTTTGGCCATTGGTATTTAAGATTTGATAGATAACTCCTACTGTATGTTAATGTCCCATAGTATCATTTTCTGCCTTTGTATCTATTAGGAGCAGAAAACTTAAATGTTGTTAACCCCATCTCTCTTTTCTCATATAAGAGCTCCAAACGAGAATGGAAACCTTTGGAGGACCACAGCTGTACAGATGTACCATGGCTGCTCTTGTTCATCCTCTTCTGCATAGGGATGGTGAGTAAAACTTAAAGGGTTTTACGACTGTTACATAGTTGAAGAGTTTGCATTATTTGAGGAAAGTTCTAGACTCAGTGACTTAATGAGTAAGGTCAGAATATACTGACATTTGAATTATCAGCTGTAGAACAGAGTTGAGTACTATACACAGTCGGAAGACCTTTGATAGGATTCAGAATTAATTTTTTTTGTGCCAGCTTCTGCTCCAGCTTACTTCTTAAAACTCCAGTTCTTATACTGCTGTGACTTCTTGGTATCTTGTGTTGTTTCATGAACCTGTGTATTTTTTTTTTTTTTTTTCCCTAGACACAGAATATCTGTCAACATTCTGTATAGCTGTGCTGTGTGCCATAGCCCTGAGGAGTATGGATTTTCTAAAACCTATCAGCTTTCTTTTCTGCAGTTCCTTAATCTCTGGTCTTTGGAATTCTTAATCCACCAAAAGAATTCCTTTTATTTTCCCGTAGTGCTAGTCATTGAGTGCACTTGAAATGCAAAGATGACAGTATTTTAATTAAATAATATAAGATACGTATATCTTAAAATAAGATATGGATATCTTAAAAGCTTTGAAAGCATTCTATTTCATGAGATAAACGGCTTTAGTTGCGGTTGTTTTTCTCCAGCCTGTCGTTTTGGTGATCTCTGGTTACTCATTCTGTACCCACCTGCTCCACCAATCATAAATTAGTTTGCTATAGGTTAGAGTCCGAGATTGTCTTGTCTGAGGAATACAATACACAGAGCAATTACCCCGTTGTTCACATATCCTTTTAGTTGGTGTTCTATGGGAGAGTTCAACTGAGCAGTCAAGTACCAAGATGGGCTGAAATGTCATTCTTGCATTGTCTTCATTTAGATCAAATGGGGAGGAATTACATGATTTCTTTTAATTGTGTTTAGGGAAAAATTTTTGAACCATCCAAGAAGCTGAGTACTATAGGATGTAAGATGCATGATCTTAAGGCCTTCATGTAATATAAAGAGATCATGTAAACTGAGTCAGTGCTGGAAATCAGCTTTAATTTTTACTTGTGATAATAGCCCTTTCCCAACTTTGACCTTGTTCTCACTTTGAGTATTAAATCTATAAGTGCATTCGTGCATTGGAAAGAGGAGGACAATGAACAGCTTGCTGTCTGAAGTTTCTCTACAGTGATAGCCTGTCCATTATAGAGGACCTCTGTGTTGCATCTTCAGACCTTTAAACCCACTCGCATTTTAAGTATCCAGAGCCGACTTTGTTACCTGTCGTCGTCATCTCATGTGATCCTGCTGCTCCATGCATTTGTGTCAACTGATTTCTCATGTCATAGTTTGCCTCATCATTAATGATAGTGGGGCAAGCATATGGTTTGCTTGTCCCTGTCAAAGGCATAGCTAGAAAGCTGGTGACGTTTTTCAAAACAGTATCATGTTCACATCATTGCTGGCTTGATGCTAGTTTTGCTAGTTTGCTAGTGTGAGAGCTCTGAAACTGCACAGCAAGGTCTGCCTGACATTGAGTGTTTGCCATTTTGCACTATGAGTCATTTTGCATTCTCTTGCACTGTATCTCTTTTTTTTTTTCTTTTTTATTTTTCCAGATTTGCACCTAATGTGTGGAGCAGTTGTGGCTTTCACCTGGCCACTTCTTTTCTTTAGGGCAAAAATATTTCTTTAAAATGAACTTATGTCATATAGGCCTCTTCACTTCAGCTTATCATTGAAAGCACTTAATTTAAAGGAAGAACAAACCATAATGCAAGAAAAGCAAGACTGTCTGAAGTCCTGTAAAATGCACTCTCAATAGTGGTAGCTCTCTTTTGTAGCTCTCTTTCACTGTGTGCCTTTGTTCTCTCTTCTGCTTCATGCACGACTTGATGAGGATATTATGACTCTCTAAAAGGAACACCTATGAGATTCTTAATTCTGCTTGGATTAATGTGCAGTGCTAGATATGAGCCCTCTTTTGGCCTTGCATTTTGTTTTATAATTGCACAGCAGTTCACTGTGGATTGTCCTTGTCTTTCCTTCTCTGACCTGAAAGAATTTTTAAAGAAACTTTGCTTAGAAACAAATGAATTAAACTAAATTTTCCCAGCTGTCCAACAGAATATTACCATTGTGGATTTTTTTTTTCCCCCACAGGGCTTTATCTGTGGCTTTACAATAGCTACAGGAGCAGCTGCAAGACTGCTTTCAGGATATGACAGTTATGGAAATATCTGTGGACAGAAAAATGTCAAGGTGGAGGGAATAGCCAACAGTGGTCTGGACCTCACACAGAAGAAGTGAGTATGTGATTCAATTGTTCTATTCTGTAAACCAAAAAAACCAAAATTTCATCCTTTCATCCTTTGAAAGTGATTTTCAATGGAATTGGAAAATGAATATTCTAATTCTTTTCTTCTGATCGCTCTCCAGTCTTCACATCTGTGGAACCACAACCTTCCATAACACAGAAGTACTTTAAAAAGTGTGTGTTGACGAAAGTGTAACGTGAATGCAGTTAAGTCATTGAGAAATTTCTTATTCTTGGCATCCACATGGGATGTGGGGGTATCTATCAGATCAGAGGGTCATCTTTGTTTTGGTTTTAGGTATGACAGATGCTCAGAAATTTGAGGTTAGGCCTTTGTTATCTGCGCAGAAGTGATGGGGCTTTTGTGATTGGTTTCTGCCTTTAAGTTTAGGGGAACTGGAAAATGTCCAACACATTAAAATAGGACTTCAAAACTTTAAACTTTAGATGGTATGCAGCATATATAAAAGGGGCATGTGGAGAAAATATGCAAGAGCAGTGCAGAATTCTTATTGAGCAGTGTCATGAGGAAAATACACAGAGATCAGAATCAGCAAAGTTGGGTTCTATCTATCATGAGGAAAAAAATAATACTTCAGTATTAGTTCAGGAGCTAATTAATGGTAATTCTGGGGTGAAGACTTGGAAACCTGTTGAGTGAATGTCTGTTGAGATCTTCCCTCCTGTCAGTGTTCACAATGCATATGTACAGTTTGGGTAATTTCAGATAGTAAGCTATTTAGCCTAGCACTGGAACTCAGGTATTAACTGACCAAAACCAAAGTCTCTTTCAAAATTTGATCATGTTAAAAGAGTTAAAAAAATCTTCAATTTCTGACAGTGATGTGATTTTACTTCATGCTTTTACTTTCAAACTAATGGAAAGTCATTAATTTGTGGGTGTTATTTTAGGAGGATGCTTTTCTAATGTATGTTGTCATTGTAATAAAGATTTCCAAACATCTAATTTAAAATTTAATGTTGTCAGGTATCTGTTGTGTCATTAGAAGAAATTAAAGAAATAGTCTGAAAACTTCTACAGATTTTTTTCTGTCAGGAGATCTTTTCTTAAACTGATAGGAATTTCTAGGAGAGTTGAAAAGCCTAAAACTCACCCAGCATAATTTTCCTATTTACTATGTCAGTATTTTAGTGCTTTTTAAAGTCAGATGTGTGTTGTACAGAAGTGTCATTCTTGTGTTATTAGAGAAAATAATTCAAGTGCTGTTCCTTCAAGTACAAAATAATATAAATATGCTGTTATATGAGAAGAGTTAAGGTGGCATTTCACCTTAATAAGTAAATAATATTAAATATTAACATTTTAAAATTCCATCCCTTGATAAAGAGATGGTGTCTGTCTTGGTGTAGGAAGGTGGAAAAACACAGGCACATGACTGAAATATATAATAGTGTAATAAATTCCAGAGAATCCATTTGACAGAGATCATCATGAGGAGAAACATCTGCAATCGTGAAATGAATTCATCTTGTACAGACATGATGGAAAGATTACTAATAGAAATAGAGAATATTTTAAATGCAGTTAACATACAGTGTTTTTTATGTGTCAAGCCAAAGACTTTGTACAGTTCAGAAGGATCACATTTTTCTGAAAAAGGTATTGCATCTTCAGAAATGGCTTAAGTGAATGATTGGGTACACTTACATGGGATGGGATCGTTTCTGTTTGGTAAGAGTGAGAAAAGGCCTTCTTTCTAGTAGGACAAATTATTGTCCAGCTATTGTGGTGTTGTCAAAGGTACCCTGATTTGCTAGAAACCAATTCTTTTGTAGGCACGTGATACTTCGCGTTCTCATACTCCATGACTTTTTAATTTTTTGGGGTAGTTTTTCAGAAGAAACAACCTACTTTCGTAGAACAATAGAATGGCTTTGTTTGGAAGGGACCTGAAGGATCATCAAGTTCCAACCCCTCTACCACAGGCAGGATCACCAACCTCCATATCTAATGGTAGACCAGGCTACCCAGCGCCCCATGCAACCTTGAACACTAGCCTTGAACACCTCTAGGGATAGGGTATCTGGCAGATACTTTGCATCTGTCTCTAGCAGATGGAGTTCCTGCAGTGTCCGAGGACAGGTCATGGGAATATTTCATGTTTTTTTTTTTCAGGAGTACTTTCCAGACATATGTAGAAATCATGTTGTCTTATTCTTATTTAATATTTCAGTTTGTATAGGGAAGGGAAGGGCTTTCAGCTCTGTGATTCTGGAATAGTTAAGTTATTCTCATTTCATTCTGCTGGCAGAGTAATTCTGTCTTCATTTCCCAGTCTAAGGCAGAAGAGCTAAATCATCTCTAAAAACAACATTTTCTTTCTTGTAAATGACAGTAAACCTTACAGACAGTAATGAAGAAGTGAAGAATGATCTGCATGAATATGAAAATCTGGTAGTAAGGATAAGGATCTCACTGTGGTGTGATCATATAGGTGCACAAGAGTTACACTGAAATCAGTGAAGCAGAATTGGGGGAGGAGTTTTCTACAACTTGATCTTGTCAACAAAGAGTGAATCGGATGTCTTTGTATTCCATGAAGGAAAAACAACTTTAATAGACAGTGATTTTGGAGTAAGACGTAGAATTATAGTCCAGCACTGGATTCTCAGTAAATCTCTCCACTTTAAATTAGTTTAGTTAATTCAAGTTTTGGCAGTTACGATAGGGATAAAAATGGCTTTTTATTCAGAAGCTTAGTTGATTCCTATTGTTGTTGTTTAGGTTCCTGAAATGCTAGCCAGTGGTATTTTTGATCAGCAATATTATGTAGAATTGAGTTATTGCTCTTCCTTCAAGTACAAAATGATATAAATATGCTGTTGCAGAGAAGAGTTAAGGTGGCATTTCACCTTAATAAATGCCTTTGACTCATGAAAAGTGTTGATGTTTAGCTCATGACAAAAGCCAGGTAGAGTTTTAAGCATCCATGCAGAAAACTTTATTTAGTAAAATTAGATGCCCTATACATCATTTGTTTTGATTGTGATAGTTTAATTCGTTTCTCCATTATGTTGGTAAGATGCTTATAAATAACAGTAAATGATTGTTCTGTAAAGTGCTCATTTGCCTGTATAGAGATGCCTTGAGGATGTCAGTGACACTGGCAAATAAAAGAATGTGTGAAGTACTTGAAGGTAATATAAGCTTATTGACGTAATTTGCCACTGTGCTTAAAATGTACAGTTCATGCTTCCAGAATCGAGATGTATTGTATAAAAGGATGATGCTTTGACTTCCTGTTTTTACATGGGAAGAGGAGATCACTGCATTTCTCATGGTCATGTATAGGTCACTTGTCAAGAGCCAGAGCCATTGATGCTCTGTTTCTAATCTCAGATCATTTCTGAAATTACATTACTTCCTTTTACCTTTAGAAAAAAAGGAACATATCAAAATAGAAACTCCAAACAATAAGGAAGATTATCCTATATACCTGTAGTTTTTTTAAAAATTATTTTATATATTCTTTCATTATATATGTATAAGTTTGATACAATTTTAAAACTTATTCTGAAGTTCATTTTGAACGTTCTTCCTCAGGATGAACAACTTGATACTGATCTTACTTTCAGATACTGTGACTTCTGAAAATTGACGTAGTCTCGTGCCATCTTTCTCTATGTGTATTAGAATCCATTTAAAATGAGACATGAACTCAACATTTTTAGTTTTTATTATACCCATGGAATGTAGACATATTAAAAACTTAATGCATTTATTTTTACCTGAAGTAATTTTTTTCACTGTGCTGAATTTCAGAGACAAATGTTGTTTTCCAAAAAAAAGTGGGTTGCTGAGATATTACGTAAGAATTATTAGGCTGTGAGTTTGACATACTGAATTTCCTAAGGCAAGCAAACTTTCACTTGCAGCATGGAAGCTGCAAGTCTTTGTATTGCTGATCTAAGTTACGGTCTTACCAACGAACTGGTCTATTTTTGATTCTGAAGAACTGAAAGTGCAGTACAAGACATGAGCAAAACTTGTTCATTGGTGACAAGGTATAGAATTTTCTACAATAAAATTAGTTGTTTTCAATAAATTGTAGCTCAAAAGTCAAACCACTTTCCTCTATCATGCTGTTGTTTGATATTTCATGTTTTAGCTGTTTGAAATAGAAAAATGTGATTCGTAGAGCATGGATTGAAGTCACTGATTTCGTAGCTTGGAATTTGATTTGCAGCTGCCTTATTTCTGTTAGAGCCATCTCTGAACTGTACAGTGTAGTATTTGAACTACATGTGTCCATTTAAACATAATTCTGTCCAAATTGTGTATGGCACTATATTTGCGTTGTATTTCTGTGTTGCCTGTCCTGACTTGAAACTGTAGTATTTATTTCAGAAAACACTAATTTCTTCCAGATGTAAAGATTATAGATTAGTCCTTGAGTTCATTTGAAGAATTTTGGGCTGTCTTCCAGTCTGAGTACCAGCAATGCTGAAGTGGTTTTCCTTTGCTTGTCCCAGCAGTACATGTTTAAGGATGCTGGGAGTACCCTCCTGCACAACCACTGGAGCCCAGCCTAGGGATTTGAGGTGTCCCAGGCTGAGGGACACAGCTGGGCAAACACTGCAGAATGCTGACAGGACACACAGCACACAGGCACAGCACAGTCCCCTGCCGCCCTGGGGCTGGCAGAGCCAGCAGGCCCTGGTGCAGGTCATGCAAAAGATCCACAGGCCATCATCATGGCTGTGCCTGTCACCTCAGTGCTGCTGGCACCACATCTACTTGTGCTGGTCCCCTGGTAGCTCTTACCTGGCAGCATTGCATGGAGCAACATCATGCAGAGATGATGAACCAAGGGTTTAGTAAGAAAATTGGACAGGCTGTGGTAGTCAGCTGCAGGATTCCTTCTGACTAGTCTTAGCATATACACAGCCAACTCCTTTTACACGTTTTTATGTCTTTCCACCTTTGTTCCCATCCCCGTTGTCACCTCAGCTGGCATAGATCCACTGTCCTTCTCCAGTGTCCTGGACCTTTAGGTTTGTGTCTGTATCAGTTGCAAAGTCTCTGTTTGCCTGCTACTGCTTGATAGCCCATCAGTTGCTATAGTTCACTAATGGCGCATGTTTTACGTCCAAATGTTTGTCTCCCTCCTTTATCAGAATTTGACAATAGTGAGATGACCAGGTTTGTGATCATCACTGCCTCCCTCATCATTTGTTGTTCAGATTTGAGTCTTAGATGTTCTTGTTAATGGCTGCTTCAACTTAATATGCCCTTAAACGACGCCCAAATCCCCCTCCTTACAGGAGGGAACAGCATCTTCAGGGACTTGCTTTCGTGAAGAAGAAGTGGTGACAAGACTATCCAATTAACATGCTATTGTCTATCTCAGTATCAATTCAAAGATGTTTACAGACTGTTTATGAAATAAGGACAAAGAAAAGAATGCATATGGTGTATTACCATATTACACTTTACTTAGATAACATGGATTTCAAGTTTCAAGAAATGAGTCGAAGTCTTGAAGCTAAGGGCTGAGAAACTGCAGAGAGTAGTAATAACTCATACACTGGAATTGGATAATAGGTAAGTTTTACTGGGAAGGAAGATTAGTTGGGAATTTGCACATAAAAAATGTTGAAACGGAATCTAAACATTAACCTTTACGAGCATGGCCTACTGAATGTATTTGCTTTTACGATTTCAAGTATCTGTGTTGTGTTTTTTGAAGCAGGTTAGTTCCAATTATATAAGAAAGATGTATGGTTTGACATTTCATCATGGTTTGTGAGATTTGTTAAGAATTATGTAACTTTCAAAGTATCATCTCTAAAGTATGTAGTGTCAAACATATTGGACATTACGTTTTGTTCTAACTCTTTCTGACGTAGCAGTATCAAGTATCCAAATGAAACATTAATGTATTTATTTCTGTTAATGTGCTTCTAAAGAAGTCTTATGTGCACTATATATTTTAAGATGTACTTAAACTCTATGTAACTGTAAAGTAGCTTGGAAAAGTTTTCTGAGGTTAGAAGGAATTTTTATAGATTATGGGATGAATTTCTGACTGCAGAAAAAAGTCATTTAATATCGCTTGCTTTTTTTTTTAATCATTATTATGTTAGATAAAATGAAGAGAGTATTTGAATTCATGACATGTTACCAGAGTTATGGGAGTTTGAAATGCTTGTTCAGCTTCTGGGAGAAGAAAAGCAGATAATCTGACTTCATTATACCACAAATGGGCAATACTGTAGGGTTAGTCTTTGTGATGAAGTATGCATAGCTAGGAGATAAAGTCGGCTAGGGAGCTATAGTATGTACTTCACAAGCAGCTTGTTTGTTTGTTTCTAGTGGCAGTGGCCATCATGGAAAGTTGTGAGATAGGATCTCTTTAAAATGCTGCCCTTGAGCTCTAGCCACTTGAACTACATGAACGTGAATTTTAATTTAAAATAAATACTAATATGATATGCTCAACTTCATGGGCTGGTGCTGTAGAAAATCAGTCTAAACCAAAAAACTGTTCGGAATTTTTCATATTGTCTGTGTTCATTAACAACAGATGGTCATTTTTTGTAGAATAAGTATGACCTTATGTGATTTGTTGTGTATCTTTTGAAAACCTGGAAATACTGAGGTTTTTGGGTTTTTTTTTTTTTTTTTTGAAAGAAGCTCTATCTTTAAATTGAAAGACAGATATCTGTGAAGAGGTGTGATAGAAGTGCTAGTCCGTATATTTGTAAACATAGATTTGAATAGATTTGCATCTGATAGTTTAATATCCTTGCTGTATGATCCAAAAAAAATAAAAAAATCAGTAAAAATACTGATGTATTTGTGGTGCATGTGTTGAGTATGTGAATTCCTTTTAATCATACAATTGTATTAATGTAAAATTTTACACATTTCCTGGTAGATTTAAAGTTAGTCTTGAATGAATCTTGTAGTTTGAGATTAATTTTCTTCAATGTAATTGTTGATTAAAATAGAAGTAATTTGCATCTTTTTCCTCCTTAGGTATGTATTCTTCTTGGACCCATGCAATATTGATCTGGTACATCAGAAGATCAAATCTCTTGCTTTGTGTGTGTCCGCTTGCCCAGGGAAAGAACTAAAAACTTTGGCTGATGTTCAGAAATTTGCAGAAACTAATGGTATGAAAAAAGCATATCTATTCACGTACCAATTTTGTAAGATTGTAGAAAGACTTGTGCATTATCTGAAAAATGAAATCTCCACTAAGAAATAGTGTTGAACTCGTAATGTTTCCCTTAAAGCTTACAATGTTAGTATGTTTGTGTTCATGTCTTGGACAGTTTTGAAGGCTCATTCTTACAACAGGAGCAGAAAGTATAATGAGGATGTCTAACACTGAGCATGTTCCAGCTCTTACAGAAGTGTTCTGATCTTGCTGTTCACTGACTGTTGAAATACCTTCAAGAGGCCTGTGACCTCTTTGCATTTCTGCAGTCAGACTGCACATGAAGCATGTCTGTGCTTGTGGGAAATTGTCCTGCTTTTATTCAGTGCCACAGGGCAATACCTTTTTGCTTTGGGGATTGTTTCTTTGTTTCTTTTTTTGCTTTTTTAAAAACTATAAAAAAATAAACACTATAAAAAAATAACAGGGAGAACAACTGTATTGTATATATAAAATACTGTACTCCATCCCCAAAAGCAGTACTTTTTTCTGTATTAATGATACTAACATTTTTATATTTTAACACTATGCATAATAAAATGCATGAGATACAATAAATTTTTGGACCATACAAAACAAAGTAAAGGTAAAAACTTGAAAATAATTTGAGGAAATTGTCAAGTTCTTCCACTATTAAAGTGGAGAACTTTGTTCTAGACTTCACACCTGTTATTTTATAATGCTGTGATGAGATGTCTTCATGACTCAGCTAATGATGAGTCTGTCTGGTTGACCAAGTTCAAAACAGTGAACTTGACTGCTTTTCACAGACAGAAATGACGTGTTGTTCTCTGTTCTATTACTGGTACTATGAGCACTTGTTTTTGTTTTGTTTTTTTTAAAGCAGAATGAGTTCAAGTGTCGCTAGAACACTATTAGCACTCTCAGGTCTTCCCAGTGAATTGTCTGCATATCTTGGTATCTGACAGGTGAATCTGGGAGCTTAATATAGTGTGGAATTAAAGCATGTTACTTCAAATTTCAAGTGACAATAAACCCTATAAACAGAATGATGAGGAAATCTGAGAAATTTGAACATGACTGCACACAGTTTAGTTGCAGTTTCTATTCTAGTGGTGTTATCAAGTTAAGTTTGAAGAAGGAAGGCAAGAGATTTGTTTGGTTTACTGTGACAGTCAGTGGAGTTTTCCATGCTAACAATTTCTAACGCCTGTCAAAAAAAAAAACGCCTCAATATTTGAAAATGCATGGGCGTAGAATGCAATAAAACCTTAATTTTGATCTGCTGAACCTTTCTAAAAGCTTTAACTCTTCTACAGCTTGAAGATTATAGTGATGCTGAAGATAGGCTTTGTGTGGGTTGCTGCATGTAATTTGAAGAACTAGCCATTTTCATCTGGCTCAGATGTCCTTCCTGAAGTCACCTTACCTGTCTCTACACCTTGCAATTTCTTCTTAAATTACTGCTTAAGAGTCATTCTATTCAAAAGAAGTTCATCAAAAGTTGGCATAGAAAATTCAGATGAAGAATTTTACCTGAACGTCTTTATGAGAAGCTGTAATACATACTGCAACATACTGATTTTATTATTTTATTGACATTAAGATATGATCCTTCAAATAGTTTAGCATTTATGGTTTCTTTCCTAAAATGGGGCAGGTACTTAACTGCTTACACACAGTGTGATAGAACTGTTACCCCAGAACTCAAAGCTTTTAGGGAGGAATTCTTTGTTACAGTGCAGTATAGCATGTGTTTGTAAGCAGTACAACATGTGTTTGTAAAGTTATGAATAGGCATTTAAGGCAGATTCTTAATTCTTGCTTGAGGCATGAAGAGCATTTCATTGTGAGGCAGCCTTTTGGCTTCCTGAATCAGTGATGATGCACTTGCTATTCTGCTGTAATTTGGGAAAACGAGATGATTTGGTGAATAGTGCTGCACCATTTCAGTTTAGTAACTTCTTCTCTACCCTACTTGGTTTCTCACTACAAGGTCCTGCATTAGCAGTGCCATTGCATCTAAGGAAAAGAGAACTGTTCTTCAGAAAGCCAGGCTGAGATTCAAGAAACAAGAAAGTGTGTGCCTTCAGTCTGTTGAGAGTGATTGATGGACAGAATACTGGTAATTGGTTGGGACCTCTTAGAAGTGGCAAAACAAGGAAGTAGAATGCTGGGCAGTTGGCTGAGATCTTCACCCTGTACAAAGATGCAAGCTGAAAATCTTAAATATGTTTTGAAATGACTCCTGAAGCTGATGCAGCATTTACAGGGAATGTTTTCTACTTCTGCTCTCACCCAGACAAACTAATAGATGACTTTATGGAGCTAATGGATTTTGTACAGCAAAGAAATTTTCTAACGTGAACTGATTATTGGCTGATCTCTCCAGGACTTTGTCACCCAGCAGAACATTTCAGGCAGGGATTTGATGTTTTTGTTTGGTCTTCGCACTTAAAAACAAAACAAAACAAACAAACAAACAAAAAAAAAAAAACAAAAAAAAATTTAATTTTTTTTATTTGTTTTTTTTTTTTTTTTTTTTTTTTTTTTTTTTTTTTTTTTTTTACAGAAAGCCAATTGGTGCGTGACATGTAGGAAACATTACAGTGGCCTTTTCAAGGCCTTGCCAAAGCATTTCTTAACATCCCTGAAGATGTAATTAATTTATAATTGTGAGAAATGAGCTATGTGGTGTCAGTATTAAAACAAACAAACAAATAAACAGCACTAAGCAGCTGGCCAGAATGTCTGACATGTTTAATTAAACATTATTTGTAATAACAAGTCTTTATGAGAGCTGGCATTCATATATGTTTTGTAAATAACTACATGCAGATTTAGGAGCCTGAAATACTTCTGTTCTAGTATGTGTTGTCAGACGTCTCCATAAGGAGGATTCTGTATTTAGACCAGGCAAGTTGGGGTTCAGGTAGACTTCAGAGTTTGAGGTGAAGGTACATTAAGTCTGCTACTGTAACTTACCTGAAGTAAGTCAGTAAAGCTGCCTGGACCAGAGGAGGGCATCTGTCTGAGCTCTAGGGGAAATCTTTTTTTTGTTTTTTTTTTTTTTTTTTTTAAGAATAAAAATTTTTTTACACATAATAATCAAAGTAAACCTTTACAGTGTGCTGATCGTATTTGCCATAGAAATACCTTAGAAATAGTAGTTATGTCACTGCCAGATTCTGACATTTTTCTTCTGTTTCTGTTCTGTCTACTACCATTTTTTTTCTCCTTTCCCTCAATAGAAGCGTCTTGTTTGAAACTCAATTCTTAATTTTCCAAAAGACATTTTTTCCACATTAGATGTAGGCATATGGTTAAAGTGATTGTGAACCACAAGATCTTTGGGAATCTGAACGTATTAATTTTGACTGCCATTTTTTTGAACAATTTTTTTTTTTTTTTTTTTTTTTTTTTTTTTAAAGATAAAAGGCAGTATGGCTACTTTGTTACTACAACCTTCATATCAGAATTATTTTGTGTTCAAAATGGGCTGCAGTTGGAATGAAGCAGTTTTACAAGAGAGAGGGAGGCTGCTTTGGAATCTTTCAGTAATCTGCACCAATACAATATTTTTGATTACATTAAAAAACTACTTGGGAAGGGAAGGAGCAGTGTGGCAATGAATCTTGCTACTGCCATGTAATTGTTTACAATTACATGAAAAAATATGAGGTCAGTGATAGTGGAACAAAATATCAAATGTAATGGAATACCTGCAGAATGAAGGGGTAGGAAATAATCATTGGTATATGTTTTGTGTTTTACTACAAACAGGTTATTGCTGCTTGGGAAGGAGATTTTGAAGCTACTTAGTACAATGAAAGAATTAGGGGAAAGCACAGAGTTGTCCAGAAGTGTAAGATTTATTAATTGTTAAGAGAGGAAAACAAGAACTATATTACATGTGTGAATTCTTGCTCTGTTGTCATCATAAAGATTGTGTTATCAGCCTTACTTTGTGAATGTCAGGTGATGGTACATCCCCTTGGAACACTCAGGAGTTTAGATACATTCAGTCTTCTCACTTTCCTTCCTTTGAAACTGTGTACTCCTGAAAGACACTGAAGAATAGTTCTAAAGAATGAAACTTGCTTTATTCACTGAGAGCGAATCTGTTGTATTTATCTGAGAAGTCCTGACCACAGTGCTTCATCCAATGCCATTTTGCTAATCTCAAGGCATCAGTACTTTTCTGGTTTCTAGTATGACCCAGAAATTAGATTAATATGTTAGGTAAAATTCTGTCATCATGAGCCCTTTTACATATATCCTGGAACCATTTACAGCAGAGGTGTCTACAATATATATAGGCATGTTTGTGCAGACCTCTGATGCTTCCATGTTAATTACTACTTCAGACTGTATTCATATCAATAGCTGAGATGTGGAGTTCTTGTTTTCTCACTCATTTATACTTCTGATGCTAACTGGTGCATAACATAATGCTGCTTCATTCCTAAATGAAGCATTAAGTACTAACTATCTGCTTCTAAAGTGTCTTTGTTACTGCCTTGTCAAGTAGGAAACTGATCCAAGCCTAAACTTTATGTATTCTTAGTGCTTGCGTTCTCAGTGCAGTTATTTCATATGGTTGTTGACAGGATATAATCACAATTGTCAAACCTAGGAATGAAAAATCAGCACCAGTGTATTTCCTTTCATGATAGCTTGAGCCTTTTTCAACTTGGGAGGAATGAAGAGGGACTTCTGTTAGCAATGAATAGTAACTTAATTTTGTATGGAAACACTGCTTGTCATCTTACCTAGTCTGTGGTTTTTGGTTTTAGAATTTACAGCAGAATTCTTCTCAGATAAATGATCCAATGTCTTAAGCTTCCATCTTTTTTTTTTTTTTTTTTTTTTTTTTTTCTTTGAAGGAAATGGGACGATTGCACCCATGACTATGTTAAGGTTGGAAGGAAAGCATATCTTCTGAGACACTTTGTCCCAGTCATGGCCTCAAAATATTCTAATGCCTAGAGCAGCTCTTTTTATGGATAAGCCATGGGACAGAAACGGTGTTGCATCTCCAGAATACCACCTAGTGTATGAAAGCACCAAATAAAAATCCCTATGAGACCATAAGACTGGTGTATTTGTTGCTGGCTGGGCAGCTGTTAGGCCACATGGTTCAGAAGTATTTTTCTTTAAGGTTACAGCGTGTTGTGATCTCAAATTCAATCCATGTAGGACAGTTGAATGTTATTTGCCTAATTATTTCTCCAGAAGAAATATATGCAGAGAGATTAGCAAATAATTATTATATAATGATTTTTCAGTTTGTTCTCTGAATTCTACATATAATGTTTATGAAACAATTAAGAGTGTTAGTAGTTTAGGAATAATAGTAATGTCTTTGGTAAACTAATTGTCTCAGCAAAGTAGATAACTGGAATTAATCTTTTAGCTTCTCCAGGACTCATAAACTCAAAGAGCACAATTGAGACTGGCTATGCAAAGATTAGTCTCTATAGCCCATATTAGAGGAGTCTAAAGAAGCAAGTTCCATGAATGTAAAATTGAAAGCCATAGCCCAGAGGAGCCCCTGGAGCAAGCAGTTCATAAGAATCATCATAGAATTCTAAAATGGCTTGGATTGGAAAAAAACCTTGAAGATAATCTAGTTCCATCCTCCCTGCTGTGGGCAGAGTTGCTACCCTCTAGATCAGGCTGCCCAAGGCCCCATCCAGCCTGGCCTTGAGCCCCTCCAGGGAAGGGAAGGGGCATCCACAGTTTCTCTGGGCAGCCTATGCCAATGTCTTACTGCCCTCTGAAGGAAGGATTTCATAGAATCAGAGGGGGGTTTGCATGTCTCCTGACCAATGTACCTGCAGAACCCCATGATACTTTTTATATCTCTTGTCAAGTTCGGTTTTTTTTTTTTTTTTTCCTGCACTTTGGCTTTCCTGATCCCATTGCTGCATGGGTTTTATTTTTTTTTCTCCCCAGTCTGTACATGTCTTGAATTGTTCCAACCAAGGTGCAGCATCTTGCATTTGGCTTTGTTGAAACTTAATAGGTTCACATGGTCCCACTTATCCAGCTTGTCCTTTGGATGGCATCACTTCCTTCTTCATATCAACTGCAAGAGATGAGAGTCCCAGACAAGAGGTGGTAGTGACAGCCAGAAGCATCCATTGCTCCTTTGAATGACAGGATGGGGCGTGCTCAGGAGGGTTCTGGGTTGAACTGACAACATGTTTCCAGTTTCCTCCACAGCCAGGGACTTTCTGGCTCATCTTCATCAACAATTTCTGCTTGAATGTCTGTGTGCAGATTATGATCTGGCATTCATTATTTCTCCCATTACATTTTTGAGTGGGATGCAAAGAGAAAGACTTTGAAATGCGCTTCTTCTTTTGTCAGGTTCTCCTGTTCCAGGCCTATAGTGAATTCTGCTTTCTCTTTTATCAGCTGGGATCAGTAAAAGTCACAAGGAACACCACAGGCCTTCCACAGGTCACCTGTCCTCTGCGCTTATATGGTGTGGGGGCCTCTGTATATGTTACGAAAGCTGTAGCTGAACACTGGTAGCACTGAACAAGAAAACAGAGCAGGCATCTCATTTTCAGCGTCTTGAATCTGTATAAGCTTGTCCTTATACAGTCCCTCCTACTTCTTCATGAAATAATTTCTGTAAGTTAGATTTTGGTCTCTGTATAGAAAGCAGAACACAGTTAAGTATCTTCTTGTTCCTTGTGTCTGTAAGAGATGGTACATAAGTGATTGCTTCCTGCAGTGTACCCCACCTCATAGCTCTCACACCTATAGCAATGTGTCCAGATCAAAAACTTCTGCAATATTATAGTGCCTTTTGTCCAAAAAGAACAATAATTACTTTTAAATACTCCTTTTATTACTGTGATGTTAAGAAGGTAAATTTGTCTCATGTCTTTCTATATAATACAATATAATCCACAAAATCAGACAGAAGCATCAGGATGCTTACAAATGGTAAAATTAAAAACAGAGTTCAGATGTTTTCCCTCTGCAAGAAATCTAACTTTCTTCAATGGTGTATTTGGTGTTTTGGATCTTCCCCCCAGAAATTGACTCTGCAGAAGCAATACTTAAGTAGTGTTCTGGAGACTGAATGGAATAACTTCCTCAGCTGTTCTGTCTTCTGTTCCAGCCCATAAATAGAGATGTTTTCATAGGGATAGCAATATGCCAATGGTAAACAAGATACCTACAACTTCTACAAATAGTATGTTCACTTTCTATGAATAGTACTTATGTTTTGTGTCACACAAGCCAAGAGAAGAGTGTTTCTCAAGACTCACAACTTAACTTGTGGAAAAATTAATAATGTCTATATTATTTAGATCCAGTTTGTAGAACTCCCTTCTACTAAGTATTCATGGAGAGAAGACTTTGAGAATATGAGGAATAAAATCTACCTGTGGGATCACCAAGATGTCCTTAGTTGGCTATGTAGCCTTTACCATTCTTTTTTACATATACAGAACCCCTGCACTGGAGAATTAGAAAGCAAACAAGCCTGGGAAGAAGCTCACTTTGGATAAGCAGCTCATCCCCTTGCAGCCTTTCTCTCTTCCCCCTGTTTCTGAGAAACCAGTGCTCCAATCTGACTTGGCAGTTGCTCTTTTCCTGGAAACACTGGTGTCAGTGTTGAGTATGTTGATCGTAGACAAATGGGAAGAGAGCTGCCTGGGTAGTATATGTCCATTAGGCACATGTTTGATATTAAGTAAAACTGAAATAATGTTTAGTTTTGTTTTTGGCGATTTGATATTTATAATACTGTACTGACTTGTACACGTAGAATATTTAGCTTTTTTAAGAGCTTTAGAGATTTGATACAGTCAGACCTTGTAGTTGGCCAACTACATAACCTCTGCAGTTTGGTTCCTTTATTCCTTTCTCTGAAGTCTATAGATCAGTTGTATTTTAAGAACATTTTTTAAAGTAAACTGAATATTTATTAATGTAATAAGTGTTATATTATGCAATATTCATGCACTGAATCATCAAGAAAAAATGTGGTGGGGTAGCAGGGAAGAATGACTTTGAGGTGCATTGTGTCTTTTACATGGGATCATGAATCAGCCTTTTCCTCTTGAATTTATAAACTCTGGAAAATCCAATACTAGATGGAAAGCATAATTCTGTTAACTGAAGTATATGCTGGGCTTGATTCAGTGCTTCATTACAAGAGGAGCTGTAGCATAACATTGCAGTAATAGCATGAGGCACTGCAGAATGACAACCTGTATCAGTTTTGATATTGTTTGCAAAGATTAGGAATATTTGATTTTTCTCCATCAGTCGTTTTTCTTTTTTTTCCCCCCTCTCAACAGGATCTACTCTGTGTAGCTATGAACTACTGCCATCAGAATATACTACAGACCCGAGGGCTGCCAAGTTGTGTCCTAAATATCCTGTTCCAGAGAGGTAATATTAACATCTTATCTGATGTGGGGGTGAAGGGAACAGAGACTTAATTTGTTTATATGATTAAGTGTTCTTTAGAAAACAAGCCTCATAAATTTCTTGTTTTACAGATGGATTTTTTTTGTTATTGTTGCATGTTTGTAAAACGCATTGGGAATACAGCTTATAAAGGAAAACCTGAATTATCCACACATGCATTAGTAAGATGACTGAGCTGATATAATTCAGTTCTCTACTGTCTCATGTAACCAGTACAGTGCTGAGTATCAGCTGTTTTTCTACCTTTTACCCACAGCCAGCTGCCTTCCAGTGCTGCAGTTCAGGGAGCCATGTGTGACTATGTCATTTTCCCTCTCAAAAATCCAGTATGCCTCAGAAATTATATGTCAAGTATTCACTGTTTGCACCTTACATCAACTAATCAGGTGCAGCCAGTTGCTTCATTTTTAATTCTTTCAGTTCCCAAATGACCAATGTGGGAATGCTCAAGAAATAAAAAGGGATTTTTATTTTATAAACAGATCAATTTGAGTTTTACTGTTCAAAATATTATGTTGGACTGCTTTTTGTGAAGTAGAGAGAAAGGACTCTTGCTCCAGAGACTCTGCTATTGCTAGCCGTGTTGGCTCCACTGGAAGCATTTCTGTGAAAAGAAGTGATTGTACACATTTTCATCAATAATTCTTCTCAAGAAGAATCCAGTTCTGTTTTCTCACATTTTAGCTTTTCAAGCATATCCAGTAGAGATTGTAACTGCTTACTCTTGCCCTATACATCATTTTTTGTTAAAGTTTAATAAAATGTCAGTTCTAGAAACTCTAGTTTTAAGAATCTCTTGTTGTTATGGTAGGCTATCTGGTGAATATATATTTTAATGTATGTAGCAGCTGAAATTTATTTATTTATTTTACTTTTCCTCACAGCAAGTCAGTATTCTATGCAACTAACCAGCTGTTATAGCTGTAATACAAAAATGAAAATTTCAGTGCTGGCTTGCATACTGAAAAGCCTTGTCAGTCTTAATTTCTGTCAGATATATATTGACTTTTCTCACTGTGTGTTCCCATGCCATTCAGTCTGAATGAATGTAACTTAATAAGAAAACAGATAAGTAGAACAGTATGTCAGAACTCTAATGATACTATGTAAATTCTGTGGAAACGCTGCCTCAAGTTATTTCGGAAAAGCTATTGTGTCAGTGGTGTATTTCCCCTTTGTTATTTGGCATGAATAAAATGTACAACATATTTGAATATTTTTGAAATTGAGAAGTCTAAGCTTGATGCCCTCAGGCAGAAAAGGCCTATATTGTATATGTAATCCACTCTGTTTTTCAGATTTTTATGGTTAAATTATTTGAGAAAATTGGTGTAATTTGGAGGGGAAATGGAATCCTGTGGAGGGAGACAAATGAAAAGCCTGCACATTGTAGACTGAGGCATTCTGGCTGAACTTACCAGCCCTCCTTTTCTTTGATTCAATCTGTCAGAGGTAGGAAACATCATCTAACTCCCATTAGGTCAGTGGAATTGGAGGTAGCTCAAGCTGTGAGGTCTGTCCCTTGATATTTGATGACTTCTCACCTTGCAGTTGAGACTCTGGTTCTCAAGGGACTCCGATCCACCACCTTCAAGGCACTATGTACCTTTAACTTAACCGTTCAGCCTAGCACTGCAGTTAGCAATTCATGTTTCTGCTGTGACTGCCTAGAATCTCTGAGTCTCAGGGGGATCACAACCTTTCTTTTTAGTTTTGGAATAGAGAACACTAGAGGAAAATCCATTCAGCTTTTTCCTCCAGTGTTTCTCTCTCAGCCAGCTCTGCAGAGCTGTACTAAGAGTCTGTTTGGTAAAGCTTATAGAAAACAAAAAGCTGGGTAAACAGTGGCATTTCAACCAATCACCCTATACATAGGTGTACAATCAATGAATATGTGGATATTATAATTAAGAAATACACAAGAAAGTTAGGCTAAACAGGTTATCATACTAAAGAATGGATGGAAAGCTTACCCTTGTCCTGGATTCACTGAGAAGACTCCAGGAGGAGCAGATCCTTCTCCAGTGAATAGTCAGCTCTTAAATGCGATCTAGGAGAGGTGGAGCCAGGCTCCAGCCCTTCCAGTAGCACAGGAGAGTTGTCTTCATCTGTGCTGCCAGGGCTGACTCATTGCTCACCTCCAGTGATCAATCAGAGGTTCAGGCCATGATTCAGCTGTTCCCATACAATAGGTTTCTGTGGGTATAATTGTGAAAGAAGAGATTTCTGAAATTGAATACTTGAACAGTTTGGTAGAGGTCTTAACTTCATCTGCTGGCTTGAACTGCACTTGCTTTGTTCTTCATTAAGCACGTATTATTATTCCGAGAAACTTGCAATTCAGTTTCAGTATGCAATATACCAAGTAATGATTGAGAGGCCATACGAGATAGTGCAAGTCACAGGGAATAGATCTATTATTGCATTTTTAATTAAACAGGACACCTTGCCTTCCTTTCTCATTGAGACAGAATCACTGAAATAGTAGCAGAACTCAAAAGATGAATTCTCTGGAGTGCGGTTTATTCAGGAAAGCTTGTAGGAACCTCATTTTTTATTAATTATGATAAAGTTAGAAATTAATTATTGCATAGGAAAATAGGTAACTTAAAATAGTGTACTGAGAGTACTGTAATACGAGGAGTGTTTAAATAGGCAATACAAAGTGGTACACAAAAAACATGTTTTCCTATTAGGGTGGATTTTGGAATGGCATTTTATTCCTGCTAGACTTTTCAAAATTGGTATTTTCTTATTCATATTGCAGAGATAATAGTTCCTTCCATACTCCCAGCTCAAAAATTGTGTATTGCTGCTGGTATTGACAATTTTTTAAATACTCCAGAATTTGTGCAAAGTTGGAGCAGTTAACAGCAAAATAAAAGTCAATTTTCAATATTTCCCAGTATTAATGCTTATAACGAACTGTAGCATGTTGCATATCCCAAATAGACTGAGAGGATGCTGTCTTTTAATAGAGCTGCCATCAATATTGGTTTAGTTTGTTTTTTAACAACAGCACAGAATTGCTCTGCTGTGCTTAACTGCTGCCTTCATCAGTAACCAACAGTAGATTATAACATGAGCACTTGTGAATGTGTTCATCTTTTCGGCACCGTGAGATTAGAACTGTAATGTATAATTGTCAGTCACTTCAATCATAACCCTAGAATCTATTAATTATCTAAGACTGGAAGGTAATCATAATTTTTCCTGAATTCAGTGCAGATAATTGCACTCTCATGGTTTTAGGAATGTTGTCTTTTTTTTTTTTCTCTTCAAAATGGAAAGCAGCAATGCATAGGAAGAATGTGCCTTACACAGCTGATTTGCTCACAGTGTGTTTAAGATAAAGGTTGGAATTCTAGAAAGGCTTGGGATTTATGAGTAGTTTAAGCAAATAGGAAATCATTGGTTTATGAGTCATTGCTGAGATGGGGATACTGCAAAATATTATGTGCACTGCTGCTGCAATCCTCTGAAATCTTGTAAGGAAGGAACATTACAGAAGAGGAAATAAATTTAACTATAGAAGATTGACTTAGCACAAAATATATTTCTTTTATTGGATCAATTTACAAAAAGGAGTGTATAATTAATGAAATATACATCTGAATTGCAATTGGGAAGTTTGACACAAAGATTTGGTAGGCTACTTTGAGATGTGACATCTCTTATGAGCCAGAAATGGGAAACATTTGGAAAACAAAATTATCCAATTTTCATGTGAAGATTTTTGCTCTTTTGTCTTCCCCTGATGCACTTGATGGCAGATCGTGCTGAGCATTCAAAAAAATACTAGCCCCAGTGTTTTGAGAGAGGATGCTTCCAAAGCAGTTAAGGAGTAATGAAGTCATAGAGACATCTTTGCATGTTTTTGCAGAGAATGTAGTGCATTATTTTACTAAAGTAGTGAAGCTAAACAATGTGACTGTAGCCTCTAGTAGAAGAATAAGTGTAGTATGGGGGAATGCTAAAAATGTATGTATTGATTTTGCTTGACGACAGTAAACGGCGGATGTCTTGAAGTACAAAATGTGTCCTTTTAAGAGTAGTATTGTCATTCTGGGATTTCTTTGCTTCAAACGTGAGCAGTACTCCACTTCAACATGTGTGAGAGGCATTGTTTCAGCTGCTGGTTCACCGTGTGACACTTGAATGAGAAATGTTTCAGTGAAATAGGAACATACATTTTGTGAGCCTTACTATTTATGGGTGGGAGGGCAATATGCTATTGGAATGTGCGCTCCAACTTCACAGGATTACCTGTAAGAACAACATCATTTCCCATATAATCATCCTCATTCCAGCAGCACTTGTGCATTCAACACATAGTTTCCGGTTATGATGTTATGAGGGTGGAGTGGTTGCATCTATTCACCTTTCATTTGTGTGTTGATGTGGCATTTATATTAAGTAGGAGTAATTTTTTTTCCTGATTTTTTTTTTCTTGTGTCACCAGTGCACCTATTCCATTCTTCCATCGCTGTGCTCCTGTGAACATTTCCTGCTATGCCAAGTTTGCAGAGGCCCTGATCACCTTTGTCAGTGACAGTAGTGTCTTACACAGGCTGATTAGTGGAGTTATGACCAGCAAAGAGATTATAATGGGACTTTGCTTGTTGTCACTAGGTAATTGTTTTTCTCATTATTAGCTATTTACTGCAGTAGGAGATTGTTAACACCCTCTAATCACAATATGAGAAGAAAAAAACAAACAGACATGTATTATAGCATTAAGCCCTTAGAAAATGGTTCAGAATGGTACATATTTTTTGACAGCTAGATGACTTCTTCAGAAGCAATGCATGTGCATTCTTGTTTTTTTTTCCTCCTCTTCCACTGATGGGAGATAGAAGATGTGGGACAGGTGATTAGTTAACATTAGTTTTGGTGTAGTTAACAGAGCATCTGCATTCTCCTCATTTTTATTAAAATATTCACGTTTTTCTTTTATAATACTCATCTGCCAACTGAAGTCCCTTTCCAAATAAAAAGAACAGAGAGGTACACAATACTATCCTTCTTGTTTTGGTTTGTTTAATTTAAATTAATTGTGCAGGGATGCTCGAATTTTATGAAGGAAATGTAATTTATGTTACTCCATCCTCCAAAATAAATAAATAAATAAAACTTCAGGCCTTTGAAAAACTCAGCCAAAAAGCTGTAAATTCCCAGCTGTATAGAGGTACTGAATGGTTTTTCAGTTAAAATACAGGCCTTTTCTGGCTTGTAAAGTGACAAACTGCACAAGAATGAAGAGCTGTGGTAACAAAATATTGTAAATTAAAGTGTAATGCTAGTCACTCACATAAATTACTTTCCTAATGAGTATACTCCTACTAAGTCTTTTTTCTGAGTATACCAGATATAGTAAATGTGAAATGGAAAGCACCAGACACTAGTCATGCATATGAGCAGTGTGAGGTTAAAATAAAAGGCTGCAAAGCTGTAACTGAAAAACAAGTCTTTCTGTTTTAATCTGCCTTTGTAGTTACAGCAAATAAATAAATAAAAAGAAGAGGCTAGTTACCACTCAACAGAAACAGAAGACGATTGAGTATCTTTTCAGCTCTCAGAGAGCTGATTATTGTTTTACCTTGTAATGATAAAATAACTATCCAGAATATTCTGAGAGTTAGTGGCTGAATTATTAGTGTTATTTTGGGTTAAGAGGTGGAAGTTTGTACAGTGTTTCACATACAGTTAGTTTTAACTTGAAAGAGAAAACTGTGTGATAATTTCCACTTTTTTTATATTTTCATAGTTAATTTACTTTTAAATAATTGGTTAGATAGTGTGATTCTCTAAGCCTGTTTTTAGTAGCTTATTATTGTGTACAAATAGGTATGTGGAAATGTCCACTACTCCCTAAATTACAGATGGCTGACACTGAAGGTGTCTTTTTAATATGTAGTTCCTGAATGACAGTGGACCTGTATGAGCAGAGCTTGTTAAATAACTCATTTTGAATGTTGAAAATAAGCACAAAGTTGTGTTCTTGAGGAGGCGTGCTCATGTTACTAGACCCGAGTACTGACATGTCTTGCTGTCTGTTATGTCATTGTCTAAATACATCTGTCTATACGTACGCATTATGTTTTGTATGTAGTGTACCATGTACATGTACTTACGCTCTCTTTTGTTTTAATCAGCAGCACCAAAGCAGGAGATGTAGAGGTGCCTGATTTCCTTAAATGTCTGTGCAGTGAGTCTGTAAGATGCAGAAAATAAATCTGCCTAAAAATTATTTTGAAGGCAGTCTGATCTTAGTGCAGAGGAAGAATTAGAAACGCTATTCCTACTTGAAATAATTGCTCTGCTTTTCTCATTCATCTTTTTTTTTTTTTTTTTTTTTTCAGTGTTGTCCATGATTTTGATGGTTATAATCAGGTACATTTCAAGAGTGCTTGTCTGGATTTTAACAATTCTTGTCGTTCTGGGATCACTTGGTAAGTTGCGTTCATCTCTAAGTTTTTAGGTGCCCTGTTCTTTTATTTGTTTTCTATGTCTACAGACTAGCAAAATGCTGCTTTTATTTTGGAGCTATTCCTTTTTGTTCAGCTTTCATTTGACCTCCTTGTAATTGCAGTACACTCTCAGATAGCATGTTGCTCCATAGGGATTTTCTGCACTTCTTGCTTGGCAAGCAGGCTTTTTTTCAGCCTCACTTGTGCAGTCCTAACCGCTGCCTTTCGCTTAGCTTTGCAATCATATCAGCAAGCTGATCTGGATATGTTGATAGCATACCAACCCATTGGGTGTACTCAGGCTTTTGGGAATCAAGGGCAGATGTTGTTTATGTGGCCTCAGGGTATCTCAGGACATAGATTTGTCCATATCACCGTGACACATTCATGATATCCTTCAGTCCTCCTACGGGCTATTTTAGGCCTGTCCTTAAAGAGAGGAAGCAAGGATGGTTTTCTGTAATTTCTAATCAAACCCTATTTCCATTGACCTAGGAAGACCTGTGTGACCTAGGTAATGTATGAAGTAGAACCAGCCATGACATCTTGAGCATAACCAAAGATTGTCCTATACAAAATGATTCTTAGTCTGCATTATCTTCTATGAAGGTTATATTCTATATTTGTAATAGCAACAGATGTGTGATGTATAGACAGATGAATATAAAGGAGGAACAAGAAAAAAGCCTCTGAATTACAAAGTACTAGCAGTGTGATTTTCAATTTGTATTAGAAAGGGATTGGAAAAGAAAAAAAAAAAAGCAGACCAAAAAAAAAAGCAGATCTTTTTTTTTCTGCTTACTGATCCCAAGGTCTGTGACCACAGAAGAGAGAAAAAAATACATATATATTTTCTTCACAAGCTTTATTATATATTTTCTTTACTTCAAAGTGAAAATTAATAAGAAACTCTATCTTTGAAGACAGCAAAAATAAAGCATTTAGTAAACATAGAGTTTAAAAACTGTCTTTAGGAGAATGTAAGAATACCTATGTAGTAATTAAAACTGACAGTAGTTTGCCCAGCAGGATGTGATCATTAAAACCAGTTGGTATAAGCTTTTGGGATTTCAGCAAAACTTTCAATACTGTTTCTCACGGAGTTCTTCTAGACAAAATATCCAGCTTGACAAAAAGATAATACAGTGAATGAACTGACTGGCTGACAGGTTCCACTGAGAGTGTTGCAGTAAATGTAAGGTAGGGTAGGTAGGGTTCCACAGGGCTCAGAGTTCCTGTAATGTTTTTTTTTAAATGTCCTGGATTCAGGATTCAAGTGCATACTAAATAATACAGATGACACCAAATTGAGAGGAGCTGTGGAATTCCTCAAACGTAGGGAGGCCTTGCAGAGAGATCTTGACAGGTTGGTGGGCTGGCCTGTCAGCAACTGCATGAAGTTCAACAAGAGCAAGTGCTGGATTCTTCACTTGAGGTGGAGCAGCCCTGGTTATAAGTACAAGTTGAGAACAAGAGGCATAGAGCAGCCCCAGTGGAAAGGGATTGCAGGGTTCTGTCTGACAACAAGCTGAACATGAGGCAGCAGTGTGCCCTGGAGCCCAAAGGGCCAACTGTACCTCGGGGTGCAGCAGGCCCAGCGCTGCCACTGGGCAAGGGGAGCGGCTGCCCCCTCTGCTCTGTGCTGTGCAGCCTCGCCTACAGCACTGCGTGCAGGTTGGGTGCTGCAGTACAAGGACATAAAGCTATTAGCATCCGAAGGAGGGCTGTGAGGAAGGGCTATGTGTGGAGGGCAGGTGCTCAGTGCAGAGCAGAGGAGCTGAGGGCAGCCCTCAATGGTGGCTGCAGCTCCTCACAGGGAGTGAGGGGCAGCACTGAGCTCTGCTGTGTGTGACAGTGACAGGGCCGAGGGAACGGCATGGAGCTGCGTCAGGGGAGGGCAGCTGGGGGTCAGGGGAAGGGGCTGCACCAGAGGGCGGTGGGCATTGCCCCAGTGTCAGAGTTCAAAGGGCGTTTGGACAGTGCTCTGAGACATAGGGTTTGAGTTTTGGGTGGCGCTTTGTGGAGCAGGAGGTTTAATTTAATCCTTGAGTGTCCCTTCTAGCTCAGAATGTTCTGTGATTCTAGAAAGGCAGTAAGGAGGCCGTATGTAATAAGCAATGAGCAGTACAATGGGATGCGGATGTGGCCAGAACACAGACAGCTTCTTCAGAAGTGGACTGTGGGAAAACTCAAATGGTTCCCGTGACATTACCCATGCCCCCTTTTATTGAAGAAGTGGCAGCAGCACATTTTTTTGCTGTGTGAGCATTTGTGTTTGCATCTACCAATTACAGCTTCCTTGGAAGGTCCTTATGAGTCCCTTCCAACTCAAGATGTTCTATGATTCTTGGGTAACCAGACTGAATGAAAGAGCTTAATAACTTATCTTACTGTAACTTACTGTTACAATGTTCTTAAAAATTGCAGCCATCACAGAGACTGAAAAAGGACGTATTCTCTCTGAAATACACTGCTTATTCTTTATTTGATGTATGCTTATGAGATGCCAAAAGAGCACCCTCTGGTTTAGAGCTCAGTAGAGTACCTTCAGCAAAGTCAGTGTGATCTCCAGATAAGCTTATGGAGATGATTAGCAAGGAATAACAGAAAAGAATACTATGAGAGGAAAAAAAAAAAAATAACAGCTGCAAAGGTTAGTTCATTGAGAGGCTGGAATCCTGTATTTAAAAAAAATTCTAACTTGAAAGACAGGTAAAATATGCAATTGAAGTACTGGTTTAAAGGCTAGGTTTTCATAACAGTGGTTAGAAGAAGGTATCATATTGTATTGGTCTCCTGGCCTTTTGTTCTATTTAAACCACAGTACCTTTCAGTGATGTTTTTGCAGTGCCTGAAAGACAATGTCTTGATGCACATGTAGCTCTGTCATTAATCTGAGGTGCTGTTTTCAGGGTCAAGACTGTTCCTTTATTTCTCTGTAGATCTTCCCAGAGATTATAGGTTCCTCTTTTTCCCTTTGATATTTTGCATCCTTACCGAAAGTTCCCTCTTGGTTTCCCCTCCTGAATCTTTGCATACATCTTGTCATATAATTTCAGCCTTTCTTCTATTGCTCTTTCTTTCCTTTCTTCACTTTTACTTCCTCTGTTGTCTGTCTAATGATTGCTGTTACCTAACTCCTAGAGTTTCCTATGAATTAGTTGCATCACACACTTTCACTCTAAAACATAAAAAGCTGTAGATCTTTTAAGCGGGCACAGTGGGATGAGATTCTGGAAAGAGTGTATCAAATTGAGAAGACAGAAACGGAGGAGAATTGAGCATTTCTCCATCCTTTGAAGTGAAAGGTCTTGCACCTGGCTTACGATAACCCTCCACTGTCACTACGAGCTGGAGGATGTAAAGACAGCACACGGTCCTGCTGAAGAGGACTTGGGGGTAGAGTTGGGTGGCAGCTGGACGTGAGCCAGCAGTGTGCCCTTGCAGCCTAGAAAGCCAGCTGTATCCTGGGCTGTTCCAAAAGAAGTGTGGTCACCAAAGCAAGAGAGTGGTCCTGCCCCTCTGCTGTGATGAGACCTCACCTGGAGTACTGGATCCAAATGTGCAGTCCTTAGTACAGGTGAGACATGGACCTGTTGGAATACATCCAGGGGAGGGCCACAAGAAATGATCCGAGAGATGGATCTCCTCCTCTACAAGAACAGGCTGAATCTATTCAGCACAAAGAAGAGAAGGCTCTGAAGAGACTAGGTAGCAGCCTTTCAGTATCAAATGGGAGACTGTAAGAAAGAAGGGGACAGGCTCTTCATCAGGATGTGCGGTGACAGGACAAGGAGAACTGGTTTCAAATGAAAAGGGGAGATTCAGACTGGATATAAAGAAGAAGTTATTTATGGTAAGACTGATAAGACACTGGTGTAAGTTGTCCAGAGAGGTGGTGGATGCTCTGTCGTCCCTGGAGACATTCAAGTTCAGGCTGAATGGGGCTCTGAGAAAGTGATCTAGCTGTGGATTATCTTAAAGGATCTCTTCCAATTCATAGGATTCTGTGATTCTACAGATTCGTATTGGGTTATCCATTTGTTTCATTGAATCTTCTGTTTCAGACCAGACTTGAAAAAATAAACTTCTTAGTTGCTTTGGTACTAGATGTGACTGTGTCACAGAAAGAACATCTTTAATGTGACTTCTGTTTTTCTCTTCTAAAACACAGGTGGAACAGGAGTCCTGTGGTGGCTCTATGCTAAAGAACGAATGTCTGCCAGTGCTGTTGATACTCAAATAGCCAAAGAAAATCGTCAGGCTCTCCTGATCTATGCTATTTCAGCTACTGTCTTCACGGTATGTTTTTCTAGTTATCAAATGATTTTCTTGTCTGACCTTTCTGTTTGTTTATTCAGGTGTGAGGTTTATATCTCGTAGTAGAAATAAACATTTAAAGCTTGCAAGTTCTGCTGTAATGTCTTTTTTTCCTTCTTAGCATTGTTCTGTAATATGTTCTTGTATCAGGAGGGAGCTCTTAACTCTGCATCTGTTCTGTTGTACTCTAAGATGTCCACAGAGACCTCCCATGAATATGAACCTCCCAATCCAGTTTCACTTATAAGATTTTTGTTAGGCTCCCAGTTCAGAGGTACTTTGCAATTTCAGTTTATTTAAAAGTCTGCTCATATTTCTGAAATCACTTGTTCCCAAATTTCTTCCACTTACACAAGGATCTTTTTGAAAGTGCTGGCACAAGCTGCCCAGTGAAGTTGTGGATGTCCCATCCCTTGAGGTACTCAAAGCCACCAGGTTGGATGGGGCCCTGATCAGTATTATCTAGTGCCTGATTTAGTAGTTTGTAACCCTGCCTATGGAAGAGGGGTTGGAACTAGATGATCTTTAAGGTCCCTTCCAACCCAAGCCATTCTGTGATTCTGAAATATTAACACTACTAAACCAGTGTGTGTTCTCTCAGGCATGTTATTCACTCAGAATCATTGACCTCACAACTAAAAATTGTCGATGTTTGACTAACTTACATGACAAGTCCACCATACAGTGTCCAAAAATGAATGTTAAATTGTTTTCTTTGTTAAATCTTCCAATCTTGCTAAATTCATTGCTATAACAGCGTAACTGAGGGTGAAATCTGGCATACTCTTGTAAGCCTGTAGCTTATGATGATTCCAAAGAAATAATTTGAGATTAGAATTCCCTAAATATGTAATTTGGAAAATGATTTCTCACCAAAAGAAGCTGATCCAGACTTTACATTTTGATCTTGTGCTCGCAAAATAGAACATATGTTAATTTTCTTTGTTTAAATATCCCAACTGTGCAAAGTATTTGCTTGCTTATTTTTGAGTTCTCTAAAATGTGATTTGTAAAACTTCTTCTTCTAGGTTATCTTGCTTTTGATAATGTTAATTATGCGCAAACGAGTAGCTCTCACAATTGCCTTGTTCCATGTGGCCGGCAAGGTCTTTATTCACCTGCCACTGCTAGTCTTCCAGCCATTTTGGACATTCTTTGTGCTTATCCTCTTCTGGACGTATTGGACCACAGTCCTACTTTTCCTTGGTACTACAGGTAAACAGCTCCCAGGCTTATTTTGAAAAACATACTATATTTAAGCCAGCTTTCATATGTTTTGAAGAGATGGTAATGTAAGGGCCATTGCATGCATTTGCTGTCTCCAAAACGTAAGCACACTGGAAGTGTTAGTATTTTCCAGATTATTAGTGAAATATTCTTAGATTTTTCTTCTGTTTGTACATGTTATTCTGAGAGAAGCTAGTGTACTCTGAATTTCTGCCTATTGTAAGAGCATAGACGAGATCTTTGTTTGTGATATGGTCTTGTCAAGAGCTCCTAGAATTAGTCAGTCTTAGAGGTTCAAGTCTTAGTTACTTCAGTAGAGAAGCTTAGCAAATGCTTTTAAAATGGAAGATGCTTGTTTTAGTTTGCAGTGAATTGTGGACAGTAAAGGCAATAATTCATCACCAAAACTGTAGAATTTGAAAATTACTGCTAATCCAAGTGTGTCAGTGTTTCAGATCATAGAGCTATTTCTGTAATGGTCACTGTGTAAATTATATCAAGAATAAAACAGACAAATCAAGAACAAAAATATAATAAAATTATTTTTATTGGTACTTGGTAGGTCTGGTTGGTCTTGGAAGTTTTCACTGTGTGCCTAAATGAAAAAATAATAATGTTGTAGCATTTTGAATATTATGCATATTATCAACGTTAGTGTATTTTTTCAACTGCTGTTATACTGATTGTCTCAAAAGGTATGTCTTTTTTATGAACTGTTTTCCTAAATCTGACACCTAGTAGCATGAGTAGAATTTAGGGTGGCTCCTCTCCGAATGGTTATGAACAGCTAATTACTGATTCTTTCTTCTTAATTTCTAGGTAATCCTGTCCCAAATGAAGAAGGATTTGTTGAGTTTCGGATGACAGGCCCCCTGAAGTACATGTGGTGGTACCATGTAGTAGGACTCATCTGGATCAGTGAGTTTATCCTAGCCTGTCAGCAGATGACAGTAGCAGGAGCTGTTGTCACGTACTATTTCACAAGGTAAGGATAAACTTAGCTTTATTGTGAGCAGCCTAGAAACGCAATTAAGAGAAATAATGAAAGAGAGAGCTTTTGGGGAGAACACTTCCTGCCTGCCTGAAAGCTGGAGGGTGGTTGAATTGTATTAACCTGTTTTATATCATGTGAAGTTTTATAATAACATGTTTTGCTGGTTATGGATGATATTCTGGTGTTTAGGATTATCTACCTTGCAACACGTGCACATTGTGAAAACATGGGTGATGGACTAGCAGAAAAGAATGTGCCTAGAAGGCTATCTTTAGTACTAATACTATTGCTCATAAGCTCAGTAGAGACTGAAAAGCTACTGGCAGCATTTTGTTGTTATTATTTTTAATTGCAAAATAATGGCCTTTAAAATGGCTTTCATTAGTCTTTCTTACTTCAGATTGCTCAGGGTATTAATAGATTCATTATTTACATGTAGATGCTCACAAAATTATGTACAAATATTAAAGTGATGCTAAATATGTATGCGTTAAAACTCCTTATTTCACTGCGTGTCCTCAGCTGGGTATTAGAACATTACCCTGGCTATTCTGCATGTATCTGCTGGCTGCTCAAGAAAGCAATAGTAATGCTTAGTAGTGCTTAAGCAGTGTTTTTTAACAATCTTCAGGCATTAGAATTTGGTTTCACAGAGATAAGACTAATTTCATAATCACAGGCTTGTCCAGATAATTTCATCCTAGCTTTAGAGTTTTGTCTTTCGTGTTTGAAGACTTTTCTGAAGTTAAGGGTGCTCAAAATGTACACAAAATAAGTGAACATTTTCTTGTTTAAGCCATTTAGGATCCATTTTTTTTTCCCTGGAAACCAAACCAGCAACAGAAAACAAACAAACAAACAAAAAAACAAAAAAAAACCAACCTGATATCAGATGTGTTATTAGTATTTCATGAGAAAAAAATGGTATTGCAACAATCTGAAGTACTGTGTTTTGGTATGTGGAGCAGAACTGTTGCAATATTTTTGTTAAGGAAAAGAGTCAACGATTCTAATTATCTGTTTATCACTTTTGTAAAAGTAAAATAGAAAAATGCACATCATTATTCAGGAATGAACCTTCACATTTTCTTGGTCTTCTCAAGACAATATAATGCAGGTTCTTTGGCTAAAGAGCAGCATGAATAAAGGGTGTTGACACAGTATTTAGCAGTATTGATTTAATTAAGCAAACTTTTCATGTGAAGGATATGATTAAGAAAAACTGTAAGGGATATCCATCAACCCTACTTTATTCTTGTGATATGCTATGAAAAGTCTAATTTTTATTTTAATGGGTTTTCAAATAATCATACAGATATCGTTTGAAGTGCATAATCACAAATGTTTAGTTTGTCTTTTTTTAGTTGTGACTGTTACCTGAACTACATTTGATTTCTTATCTGCCCTAGTCTCTTTAAAATATATCAAATGTAAGGCAAGTAAATTAATTTACTGTGGTGACAGAGACTATACTTATTAATGATGATGTCCTCCAGTATACCAGTGAAATACATCTGAGAAGTTGTTATCGGATGCTGCAGGGTTGTAAAAAGTAAAGAACTATGAATGTACAGAGTAAAGTTTTACACTGATGCAGGTTAACAATGCTTGTGTTTCATTTCCTTTGTTGATTAATGTATTTGCCCTCACCTGAAAGTGTATGATTTTACTTTCAAGTGAAACTGTCATTCCTTAATAGGAATTTTAATTTCAGATAGCAATTATCAATTGTTCCATACTATTAGTCTTTCTTGAATTTTGAAGTATAATTCTAAATTGAAAAATGACTTGGTATTAAGTAAAGGGCATGAAGATATTTCCACAGCAAATGTATATGGAGGAATGTTTTAGATATGTTTGCTATTCATTCACCTTAGCAGGAAAGAGTTCTTGCAACTCGGGCAACGGTAGATCTCAACATCGTATGTGATAGAGTCATCATTCAGTTACATTTGCTTGACAAGGAGATAGTGATCTGGTTGCCTACGTGTAGGGCTCAGGCCTTAAATTTCATGTGATTGTGTCCAAAGGGGGATTTGACTTCCCTCACCTGAGCTCTAAACGTTATTTGGGAGAAAATATAGGGAAAACCTGTTTAGTTATTAACGTTTCATGTTGAAGTTGCACAGAAGTTATTTTCATATGATGAAGACTATTTCTTGACCTTTTTGAATGAAGCTTGCATGAAAATAGTTTTCTCTCGAGATGGGAACTCTTTGTTTTTTTAATGCGTGGTTACTTGAGGATATGATAGGTAAATTAGACATCCAAAATTGTGACTTGCACAAACTATCCGTGTTTTATGTGGAGTGAACAATATACAGTCACAACTAGAAGGTGGGTAATTCCTTTTGCAGCCAGCCTGTTGGGAATTGGTAGCAGTTCTGTAGGATGACATTAAATGCATGTTGATTATTCTATGTCGTTCTCTCTTTTCAACAGGGAGAAAAGGAATCTGCCATTTGCTCCTATCCTGGCGTCTGTTAACCGCCTTGTCTGTTACCATCTAGGAACAGTTGCAAAGGGGTCTTTCATTATCACATTAGTGAAGATACCACGAATGATTCTTATGTATATTCATACACAACTCAAAGGAAAAGTAAGAGAAATAGATTCCATATCCTTTCTGAAACTCAAAGCCAGATGTGCTTGCAGATAATTTAGTTAAACTTATTGTGGAGGCTGAAAGTGTAATTTTGAAATATTTGGTCTTTCAAGGACCATAAGACTGAGAGTAACTGCTTGAGTTAACAAGTTAATTATGAGTTACTTGAAACATGAAGTAATATTATTTTCTTAAGATCTGCTCTTTTTACTGCCTTTTTACTTTGCTTACCTACATTTTGTGCTTTCCTAGGAAAATGCTTGTGCTCGCTGTATGCTTAAAGCCTGCATCTGCTGTCTTTGGTGTCTAGAAAAGTGCCTGACCTATTTAAATCAGGTAAGATTTTCAGTATTCAAGTTTTATGTAAAGTAATGATGATTTATGTGATTTGTAGAATATAATATTAGGCTGACACATAATGTGTTGTACTTTGAAGCTGAACTGGACAATGGTACTTAAATCTTGTCTTTGTTACTGAAATTAAAATACAAGGATTACATTAGTCTTTGTTTACATTGCAAAGGTGAAAGCCAGTATTGATCTTTGCAAAGTTTGTATATCTTTGCATTAGATCAGATGGATTTATTTAGAGGTTGGAGGTGACCCTCTCTAAGTCCTCTGTAAGGCTACATCTGATTTTAAAAATGTTTGCTATGACAAGGGACTGAACCTTTTTTGGGTTTAATATTTCATGTTTACATGATTGAAAAGCATTCAATTTTCCCCATTTTCCCAATTTTTTTTACTCCTTCTCCTATTCCCCTTTTGAAAGATCTTTCATTAAGTAAATCTTCTCTTTCTTCTTCCCAGAATGCATACACAGCCACAGCTATCAACAGCACCAACTTCTGCACCTCAGCAAAGGATGCCTTTGTTATTCTAGTGGAGAATGCTTTGCGAGTGGCTGCCATAAACACTGTTGGGGATTTTATGCTGTTCCTTGGAAAGGTATGTCTTGGCAAGCTTTCCTTAGCATTGACTCATACCTCAGATAGAAAGTGTTTTAAAATTCCTTTTTTTTACTTCTCACTTCATTGCATCTACACCATGTACAGAAGGAGCTGTCCTAAATTAGGGTAGGTAAGCAGATGATATGCTTAGGTCAAGTAGAAATAGCTGAATTATGAGCTTTTGCATGAATACATTTTTAGGGAGTCAGGCGAAGTGTGGCCAGAAATTCTGAGGATGTGTGTGTTTTTGTAGTTAGAAATGTGAAATCTTAAGGAAATGGGGCATTTCTTCTGAATTCTGCTCTTCTGGTTTTTTGAAAGTTGGCACTTTGTCGATCGCCATTTTTGACAAAAGTGCACTGGAAGGCAGTATGGGAGTATGCAATTAAGAACTGTTAGTTTAAGCAACGAAGTTACTTGTGCTCTGAGAAATGAAGTAGACTAGAATAATTCCTGTGATCAGTCAGTCTTTTGTCTCTCTAGGAACTCCCCTGTACTTGGTGCTTGTCAGACCATACCTGAAGTAGCATGTTTAGTTTGGGTCCCCCTGTACAAGAGGGGCATTGAGGCTCTGAAGCATGTCCAGAGAAGAGCAATGAAGTGTCTGAAGGCCATGTCTCAGGAGAATTAGTTGAGGGAACTGGGATTGTTTAAATTGGAGAAGAGGAGGCTTCTGGGAGACATTAATGCTCTGTGCAGTGATTTGAAAGGAGATTGTAGAGAGGTGGAAGTCAGCTTCTTCACCCAGATAACAGAATCCTGATAAGAAGGAATGGCCTTCAGTTTTGCCATGGAAGATGCAGGTTGAGTATTATGAAAAACTTCTCAGAAAGAATGGGGAGGTGTTTGAACACGCTGCATAGGGAGGTGTTGGAATCACTTTCTCTTGAGGTATTCAAGACCATGTAGGTGTGGCACTAATGAGCATGATTTAGTGTGTGTAATGGTGATGGGTTGATGGTTGGACTTGATGTGGGACGTATTTTCCAACCTGAACGATTTTGTGATAGAGATCTGTAATCCAGTAAATTACTAGCTTTCTGAGGATTTAATTACTGATAGTTTTATAGCAAATAACTGCCATTATTTACTAGAATTTGATACTTGTCCACTTAAATCACCTGACATTTTCCCACTAGTTGAACTGTTTTCCTTATTACAATTCTTCTTCTTCTGTTAAATCAGACTTCAGCGCACTGAGCTTTAATCCAGTAACTAAATCAATGAGATGTGTGGAGAAGTAAATATACAATGAAAATATAAATGCTCTAGGAATCATAAAATACATAATGCAGTTTTGTGGAGGAGTCTGAAATGTGTTAGAGAACATCTCCTGTAAAGGATCTCTTTTAAGATTATTAAAGAAATACACCAGTAACAGAAATGTTGAAATGAACAGTGCAGTTTGTTAAAAATAGTATCAACTGAACAGTGCTAGGTTTCCACTCCATCTCCTCTACAATCCAGCCCTGTGTTTTCATGATACAGTTAAGCTGACTTATTCTTCAGTTTGAGTTTCAGCTGCAGTTCGTAATAAAAGGTTCATAAATGTTAAAAATGTTGAGTATCCACAACAGTTGTTATTCTGAAAGATGAAGCTGATACCTAAGGAAATACCTCCGTAGTTTTACAGAAACATATGATGCACATTTTGTACAGTAAAACCATTCTAATCTGACCTATAGTCAAATCTGATCATTTCCAATTCTAATCTCCTTTCTCTGTATGGAGTCAAGTCAGTAAAGACAAACTTGGAAGATGTTTTGGCTAAGTTAATTCCTACAGCAAAGTAAAAACCATGCCATTGCCCCAAGCTTCACCCCCCCCAAGACAAACAAACCAAAACCAGGCACAGTTGCACCTATGTTGTTCTGTAACATCTGGTTCTGTCTTTTATTAATAATTTTAAGAGTAATGTTCTTTTGTTGTAAGAATATTCTGTAATACTAGAACTATTACCAGTTGGATATAAATGTAATTGGACCTGAAAAATACCTTGTGTATTGAAGGATGTGTTTGAAACTATTTTGATTTTCATTTGCTGGGCTAACAAATAAAACGTCATTTCTATTCAGAGAGGTGGGGAGTCAATGGTCTAAAGATGCTATCATTGCTAGCATCTGCAACCTCTAGTTATAGGATTGGCAAAGCAAGGAAAGCGTAACTTGAACTATGACAATAGTAATGATAAAAGCCTTTTGATGATTTATGTTTTCCACTTCAGGTCCTGATTGTCTGCAGTACAGGTTTGGCCGGGATTATGTTGCTGAATTATCAACGAGATTACACTACCTGGGTGCTGCCTCTCATAATTGTCTGCCTCTTTGCGTTCCTGGTTGCTCACTGCTTCCTTTCCATTTATGAAATGGTTGTTGATGTCCTTTTCTTATGTTTTGCCATCGATACAAAATACAATGATGGAAGCCCTGGGAGGGAATTCTACATGGACAAAGTTCTCATGGTAAGTTCACATAGCTCTCTGAGTCAAAGCGTATAGTTCCATAAGGTGGATGTCTTGAGAGTGCAATGAATGCACTAGCTGGGTATAATTTTATTTATTTATTTTTTTTTAATTTAGGTTACCTCACTGTCTTATTCATGACTTGATCAGCCAGGAGTGCTGTGATGCGCATTAGATAAGTAGTAAGGCCTCCCTGATTTGCAGTTATCAATGCTGACTTAAACTTGCCATCAGCTAGATGAGCAGCCCTCATACAGAATCATACCTTTGGGTATCATTTCTTGTAAATGATGCAGTGCAGAAGAGAAGGCAGCAAAACAGTATGGAAAGATTTGCTAGTTGTTCTTTCCTAAAAAGGACCTCCCTTGTGACGTGGAAGAAAATAAACATCAGAATATTCTACCTCACGTACAGTTAGTAACCACATTGAAGTTTTTCTTTTCAAATGGACAGCAACTTGAAATATGTCGTGCATAAAAGCTACTGGTTTTATGTTCTGTGCAGGAGCCTAGATTCTATGTCAAGACCCTTTGCACAGTTCAGTTTTTGTTGTTCTGTCTTATTCCCTGTTCAGTCTACCTGGAGAATGAGACACAAAAATTCTGCCCCTCAAATTGTTCAGTTTGTTGATGAGTAGATGATTTACTTCTTGGTAATGTTTTACCACTTTAAGTGGCCCTTTTCACACCCAGATGTAGGCTGACACTTGTGGTTGAGGATGAGGATCACTTGAGGATGACACTTGTGATTTCTTAGTGTAATTTTTTTTCTGACTAACTTGTTGGAAAGTTGTGCCAAGAATTTAACATTAATTGCTGGCAAAACACTACAGAATTTAGGGTATATGGTAAAAGGGAGTGCTATCTGATGACTTGCATTTTAGTACAGAGCAGTAAAATGCAGCATGCTGTCTAAGAAGACAGCGAAGATCAATCACAAAAACATTGCAGTTTTCGCTAGTCAGCAGTTGGTATCACAAAGTGCTAGTAGTGAAAGTTTACTGAAATTTGATACTGAGTGCTTGCCTTTAAGAGGAGAAAATAGATGAAAAGCACCTCAGTTCATCTTTGAGTAAGTAGTTTTGATTGGGGAAAATTTAAAGAATGTGCTTTCAGGGAAGTCAGGAAAATAAACAAGACTTCACAAGTAATTATCTCCAAGTCCTTCTCTTTAATGGTGTTCTGCCATTGCACTTAATTCTTAGGACAGGATTTAGTAACTGCAATTTAGTTTTGTGACAATTGCCCTCCTACCTTCCTTCCCCCAAAAAAGGGGAACTTTGTGGACATTACAGAAGTTGTAATGGCACCCCATGACACATGGTTGTTTCTTCAGAATTTGATGGTGGAGAACCGTGTGGTGGCTCTTTTGATATTTTATGAACAATTTTACTCCGAAGAAGTGGAAGAAGGAAGTTGCACTGACTTTTTGAGCAGTTACATCTCTGAAGTTTTGTATTTAGATTAGATATTTGAAGTCTGCTCTGAGAAAGCACTTTTCATGTTACTGCTGTTTTTCAGGAATTTGTGGAGAATAGTAGGAAATCTATGAGAGAAGCTGGCCGGGGAGGTGGAGCTGAGGGCAGAGAGCTAAAACCAATGGTAGGTGCAGATGAGGAGGTGGCCATCCTCCAAGAGTTTCACTTTTACTTCCTCTCCCTCTTTGTCTTTACTGACTGCACTTCTTCAGGAGAAGTTTTTGTTCTCTGTATCACTCAAGACGTTCTGCTTTTTCTGTTTGTGAGCTTGCCTATCACCTGGATGGCAGAGTTTTTGTCACAGCTGAGACCATCTCCTGTAAAAGTAAGATGAAAGGAACTGTGTCATATGAAACAAATGAAACAATATTGTTTCATCAGGCTTAATAGTGAATGCTGTGAGCTATACAGATAATCTTAACTTCTGAGAATTTTCAAAATAATATGACTCTGGAATTTGTTTGACTATTCTGACTTCAATCTGCTTTCCATTCTTGAAATAAGCTATTTTTGTTTTACAAACACTGTAAAAGCCTGAGGAATACTACTGAGCACATCCATTGTTGCAAAGTAGAACCAGGCATTTAAAGCTGTCACCAAATTATTTTATAGAGTGCCAAGGGATTGTGTACAGTAATTCCTTTCAACCTGCTCAAATGACATTTCTCCCAGTTGTTTGTTTTTATTGCCAACTACTTATGTTGCTTGTCTCTTTGTGTGCTCTTTCCATCTCACACTGTCAAATATGCAGACAGTGAACAGTGCATCATCTATGCTTCCGCAGCCTGTCTTACTTATGATGTGCCTATTAGGAAGGCATTGCATGTCTCAGTAGCCTGGAATAAGGAACAGCCTTACATGGTACAAGTAACAGATAGGTGGATCAGTTTGGAAGGTGGAGAACTGAGAGCATACGATGGAAAGCCAGGCTGGGCAAGGTATGACTTGTCATCATGCAGTATGACTTTGTGAAATACAGTCATCTTCAATCATTAATTTCTCAGAGGGGCCTAACTCAGTTCTTCACCAAGTGGACAGTCTGTTAATCTAATGGGATCCGAATAGGTGTATGCTAATAACTAGAATTTTTTTAGTTATATACCTGAGGCCATGTTGCATGAGCACTTTCTGACCTAGCTGGAATGAGTTCCTGCTGTAGAATTGATAGATGTGTAGCTTTGCGTGTTTTGCTATTTCATTATAGCATACCAGTTTCTAGATTTGCTTACGCCTAAATGCTTCTGTGTCTGTACATTTTAAAAACAAATTCTATGCTCGTTTACTGTTTCCTTCAGGGAGTAATTCTAGCTGTTCAGACACTTACGTTAGGATTTTCAAAGTGGTCTAACAATGAAGCTGCCATTAAAATGATTGAAAATTGGGTTTGCAGACCCTCTAGTCACATTTACAAATATTATCCTTCAAAAATTTTATGTTAATGTGAATCAGTAGTTTGAATTAGAGATTAAGTGGTTTTCTGCTTATGCTTTCCTCACTGCTTGCACAGAGCAGTACTCTGACCTGTACTTGACACCTAAAGCTTCATTATGAAAGCTTATATCCATTCCCCTCGTAAAAAGGCAAAGGAAGTACTGGCAAGTCAAGCATCTTTTTTGTTATTGTAGAAACATGACTCTAGGCAACTGAGCCTAGCAGTGATCAGAACTGCTGGAGAAGATGCTGAGCTCTTGAGTGTCATGTGCTGAATTACTCCCATTTCTGGTGCTCATTTGATAGTCTTGTTTGGAATGGATGGGGCCTTGTTTTCTCAAGAGGTACCCGTGTTGGGGTGTTAAACCCAGATGAATAAGATAAATATTAAGTCCCAACTTCCTGACAAGGGCTGTGCACAGCATAGGTAGTGGCAGTTATTACATCTGGGAAGTCTCTGAGACCTTGCACCAAAGCACCGATAAAGGTTTCAGATATGTCGGATTAGGATCATTAATAGGTCTGTTCTGTAACTGTAGTACCTGTAGCCCCAAAATTGGATGTTTCAAAATCAGATTAATTTTTCTTCAAAACAAACAAAAAAAATTCTAACAAATAATCTTCAGTATTTTGCCTCAGTTTTCTCGAAATGGTTACTTTCTAGGTGTGACAGTTCTAAAAGTGGAGCACCCTAAATGCGTTTGTATTTTAGATAGATAGATACCAGAGGTGAGGAAACATTTAGAACATTTGGTCTCCAAAGAGACTGCCAGGAAAACCTTTCTCTACTTTCTTTATGGTTTCCAGTGACCCTTTTGACTCAGTTTCTCCTTGACCTATGGCATTTGTCTAAGACTATACTGTATGACTTTGTTTTCTAGGCCTCTGGAGCAAGTTCATCTTGAAACTAGCCAGCCATATTGGAACCCATTGACATTCCAAAACAATATATATATACATATATATATATATATAAATATATATATATATATATATAAATAATCAGCCAAAATCAGAGAAAAGGAACAGGGATTTAATACTTTTTTTAACAATTATTTTTGTGAAACATGTACTCTTTTCATACGGGTGGCTTTTACAAGCAGCTTTATCATTGTTCCATTTTTTAAAATTTATTCATTGTAGTCACAGAACTGTTGATTCTTATCGGCTTGATATTTCACAATCTGGAGGAGGAATCATTGTAAAGATAATTTTAATGATGATTGGGTTTCGAGACAGATTTCCAATGACATGGCTAATCTGCTGAGAGTTTTTTGTTTAGTTTGTGTAAATTTGCATTAAATTTAGGACAGCTACACATAAGCAAAATCTTCAAATCAAGAACAGTATTGAATTTAGCTTTCTAAAAGGTAGTTTTAGCGTGAGTTACTTCAGTTCTAACTGGTTTGTAAGCAGTCATTTTATTCTACGGCCCTGGCAGGGCCCAATTTTGTTTATCAGTATCAGATATCACAATAACCGACTCCTCAGGTATTCACATGTGTGGGAGCCCTTGCATCTCCTATTCAGCAGAAACTAGAAAATGGGGAATAATGATTTTTATATGCAATTTACTTCATGTTTTACCCTACTTACCCTCTTACCAATTCCTCGCCCCCCACCCTGCCCCAGATTCAGTAGCCTCCTTCAAACGTCAACAGTGCTCCTTTAGGGACATAGATTCTCCATATGAGCAATTCAAAGAACAGGTTATTAAAGCTCAGTCTTAGTCATACTCATGATTAATTCATGACTGGATGTAAACATGCTGAGGATGGAAGGAGAAATGAACTGTCATACTGTACAAACAAGTACTCTGTAGTTCATTTCATTTAATGTCAGAGAGGTTTGGGATGTGTAAGGGACCATTCCTTGCCTATTGTTTCACCCATATTTCTATGTACTGTAGCAGGTGGTTGAAACAGGAAAGGGCAGAGGTACGTTTCTTTGGAAGTGTAACTGCCTGGGATAGTTATTTGAAGTCATCGAATAATGATAAGAGAACGTGTTTTGTTTTGTTTTTATTTTAAAAAAAGAAAAAAAAAGAAAAAGCAGTAGTAGTATGGTTCTGAGATAATTGCATTTCTTTCAGTCTGGAAGTTCACCAGATATGAATGCTAATATTTTGTTCAGCCTGATGTACTGGTGAATGGTTAAAAGTGTATTTGCTAAGAATTCATGATCTGTCAATGCTATATAGTCCTTTTGTTACGATTTTTTTAAGAAAACTATTTTTGTTAATGTAAAGTTAATACTGCAGAGCAGAATTTTTAAACTTATTGCACTAAATATAAGCTCTGTACAAATAAATAATGCCTCAATGGTTTGATCACTCCATTCAAGAAAACCTTTTGAAAGAGAAAAGCCCTTCTGTGGAAGCTTTGCAATGGAGTGAAGAGGTATGTCTAGTTAAAGAAACTCAGTTGTACTTATGGTTTAAAGAGTAAGCTGTTCTCTGTGCTTCCTCTCAGAGGATCAGACATTTAAAAAATAGAGTGTCATGTAACTAATCAGTGCTCTTACCTTTTGGCAATAGTGAAATGTTTCACCTTTGCTTCTAGAAATCATTTGATACTTACACTTGTTTAGTTTTCTTTCAGTAAGCCAATTAAAAAGACTTACTGTTTTCATATCACAGAAAGCAAACTGTATGAAAAGAAAATGAAAATATGTTTAGAGGTGGTAACTGCTGGGGAGATGGGAGGACAGAATTAACCAGTCTTGCAAGCACAAGACACTTATTTAACCAAACCACATCAGCTCCTCTGACATCAGGAGGGCTCTCTAAAGTAGTGAAGTTGTAAGATACATTTGTGTGTATGTGTGTGTTAATTGAACTAGAACTTCAGCCTAGGGTTCAGACTGGAGCACTGACTGGCGAGGCCTCTCAGTGTAAGCTAGAAGTCAGGCTATCTAAAAGAAGCCCTGTAACAGCCTTAAGCTTGTGGAGAGAAAGCATTCCTGCTTTTAAAGCTGGTTGCTGAAGCTGCAGTTGCACTGAACACTGTTGTCTGTGTAGATCAGTGGGGTTTAGCAACAGAAATTCGAAAACTGGCTCATGTGAATCCTAGAAACTGGATTCCAAGGCTAAGAGACTTCTCACATACCCAGTTGCTTCCAGAGAACTGTAATTTCCGTCTTGTTGGAAATTATTGGAGGTGCTTTGATCAAAGCCTTGGATTCTGCTCATTTTTACAACAATTATCTGCTGTCACAAGTTCTGCAAGTTTGTGCTCTCTGCTCACTGGAAGTGGGAGCTTTTCTCTGCGATCGCAACTAGAACTGCAATTGGAAACAAATTTTGTATTTTTGTATGACTTGACTGTGCACCATTTTTATAGCAGTTTATCCTGTTTTAAGAACAAATTTGATTTATTTACATGGTGTTTAAGAGATACAGGCAACACTTTTCTATGGGTAGCTGTAAAGTTTAAGTGACAAACCTATATCATTACAGAGTTCTTAATAAAATCATATGCACCATTCTTGTGTGTATCTGGCACGCTGAGCTTTTCAGTGATGCCAAACTGCATTCCATCAACATGCAGGCTTTCCAGTGGCCCTTCAAAGCTTTTAAATGTTCTTTAAGGAGAATTGCAACCAGACTGTAAGCTATCCTCTTCCAGCGTGGTCTTGTGCAAGGAGATAAATAGAAGACTGGAGTCTAAAAAAGCTTTTCAGGACAAGCTTAAACTTTGCTTTCCTCCCCCTTTAAGGGAGTGGTGGAGAACACTTGAAATGTAAATCCGTAGTTGTAGTAAAGGTGCTGGGGACTTCCAATTGAGATGGATTAAATACTCGTTTTGCCATCAGTATATGGACTGCCTTGTGGAAAGCAGTCTGCGCCACTTAGAGTGTGGTGCACTGGGAATAACACTGCAGGAGGAGGAGATACAGAAATAATCTGCTTGGAAAGCCCACTGAACCAAGCAGTGCTTGAGGACTGGTGATATGAGCCAGTGCAGTTATTACTGGTTCCCAGCATTTGGTTTCTGCAGGCAGTCTGGCACATAGCCTCTAATCAGCTAGGCTCCAAAGGAAAAAAGCTTGCTGTTCTTTTAATTGTTTAATTATTTTCATTTTGTTATCCTCTGTCTTATTTGGAGGCTGAGCAACGTGTTATTGTTGCTTTGGCAGAGGTTTGAACTAGATGAGGTTCTTTCCAACCCTTTGATTCTTTCAACCCTAAAGAATCCTAGTTGTTCTTTTAGCTCTCATTTCTGTATTGCTCTTTCAGTGAAGGAGTACCAAGCAGCTAAGTGTCAGCTCCCCCTGTCCCACCAAACTTAGCCTGTGCCTTCTCACCTTCCCAAGGCAATGATATCACCTGGACTGAATGGGAGGGGGAGTAGGTGCAGAGCTGAAATTCTGAGATTCTTTTTGTGTGTGCGATACCACTCCATCACTGTGCTTGCTGTGATAAGGAGTGAAATGCATTACTTTAACAATTCCAGTGCTGCTTTGCAGCTAAAGTCAGCACATGGTATGGCCAATTTAGAACTGTATCTTCAGCCTTCCATGAGCTTGTGTTTGTACTCCCACCTGCCAAAAACAAGATTCGGTTTTACGTGTGGCCTTAGCTTGGTGTAGTAAGACAAGGATGTTCAGTATAAGGAAGCATGTCCTAGAATGGTGGAAAACCATCAAGTGGAAAATCAAGTACATACTGTTGTGGGGTTTACCCTGCCTGCCAGGTAAGCCCCTGCTCCTTTTGTGCCTTCCTTTCCAGGAAGACTGGGGAAGAATCAGAATATGGGTTGTGGTAAAGACAGCTCATTAATAATGGGAAAAAATCAAAGGGGAGAAAAAAACATCATCAACCAAGTGTTGCAAAGGCAATCGCTCACCACGTCCCACCAGCAGACTGATGCCCAGTCAATCTCTGAATAATGGCTGCTTTGGAAGACTCTCTCCCTCCCACTGTTTTTTTTTTTGTTTTTGTTTTTGTTTTTTTTTTTTAATTTGAGAGTAATATTCCATGGCACAGAGTATTTTTTGTGTGGTCTGGGCCAGCTTTCCCAGCTGTGTCCCCTCTCAGCCCTTGCCCACCCCCAGCCTTCTCTGCAGGAAGGGAGAGACAGAGAAGGCCATGACCCTATGGGAGCACCGCTCAGCAGTGGGTTTGTACACTGTGTGCTACCAATGCTGCTCTGATCACAGATCTAAAACAGTACCATATGGGCTCCTGTAAAGAAAATTATCTCTGTTCCAGCCAAACCCAGGCCCCTGGTCCACTTACCTAAATGTTAACCCAAGACTCACTTCCCACATTTCTGTACAGCACCTTCTCAGGGTGGTTACTTCTTTCTGAAAGGGCTTTTTTCAGAGTAGGCGATGAGTCTGCTCCACAGTGCTCCCTTTAGGGAGGGAGCAGGGTATGCTGACTCTTACTCTTTCAGCACAAAATGGGGATGTAAAGCAGAAATGAGCCCTGTCTGTATCAGCGTCCTGGCAACTGAGCAGCCAGCGCTGAAGACAACATATTTAATGTGCCCTCAGGGCCTGCACTTTAGTGGTTTGCTCTGAGTAGTTATGATGTATTCTATGAATGTATGTTACAGAGTCAGAATAAATGCATGTAGCAGACATATACTCGTCATCACCATCCAGTGATCATTTGGTTCTGAATGCATATTACATGATGTACTGGACATCGCACAGTCATTTTAAGGAACGTTAGAGTTTAAAAGTAGATACCTAACGGTGCGCATCCCAGTTTTGTAAATCATGGCTTTGCCTGTGCAGATACTGTTTACTGAATCTCAAGCCCATTGTTTCTTGAACAGCTTGTGTGTCACGTTGTCACTACTGAAGTTCTGTTTCATCTTTGTGAAAAAATATAGCTCCTTCCCAAAGGAGGAAACTCCTTCCCCTCCATGGAAACAAATACTGTTTCACAGAACAAAACCCAACAGACTTACGTGAAGCATTTCTTGCGCTCGGCTTTTTGTTGGGACAATGGAAGTTTACTCCAAATATCAAATTTTTTCAGTGCTCTTCCAACTGTTTTCACCTCTGCTGTTAATTCCATCACATTACAAGAGAGATAATGGAGATTAGTAACTTTATATTTCTTGTGCTCTGTAGCAAATACTGTTCTCAAGATTTTTTTTTTATTTTTATTTTTTTTTATATTTAGAGAGATGAGAGAAGATATGAGTTTTATCTCTTATGATGTGGGTCATACACAGAAGGCAAAATTTCTGGTCTGGGATGGAACTGCGAGGTATCTTGCAGTGTTTGCAAGCTGATGCAACCAAGCCAAAGCTCTTTAGGGACATTAGGATTATGAGAATATTTCCAGGGATAATAGGTAGCATGAATACATCTAAAATATCCATTGGGAGGCTAAAATACTTGGCATTCATTTGAGAGAAATCAGCTAAACCAGAACTACAGAAAAGTAAGAAACTCCATCACATTCTACTCCCTTGTCTCACTGAGGCCATCACGTGATATGAGAATATACTGAAGCACAATTTGGTGTTTTAAGCATTTGGTAATTATCTGGAAAATTGTAGGGCTCCCTCCAGAATCAAAGGTGCAAGAATTTTGAGCTAAAGTAATAGGTAACTGCAGAATTAGCCAAATGTCTGAAGTTCCAGAGACACCTCTGGCACCTCTGAAGTACTACGGTAGCAGTGGTAGTCACCACTCCTGAAGTGTGCCACCTCTCCCCTCTTGTTTCACTGAAATATGGGCAGGTAACGACCACTTCAGAAAGGTCTAGTGTGATTGTGAAGCTGAAGACTCCTGAAATCCAGTGAAAGCTGAGCACTGACTGGAGTCCCTGTGAAACTCATGATTTTTATCTTTAAAATAAGTACTGTGTGTGCTCCGGTGTTGGTACTGGATGGATCCGTCCCTGCTCAAACTGTAGAGTATCTCCTTAGAAAAACAGCTGTGGGGTCATCTGTGTGGAGGGGGAGAGGAGGAAGAACACAACAAAAGTTTGTTTTGTTTCTGATATAGGCCAGGGAGCAAATGCCGGAGGCCAGTGGAGCCGTGGAGAGCAGAGTTTCACAGGTAGAAAATAGTTCACAGAATCTTCATAGTAAAGAAAATTCACGTTCCATTTCACAGACATCTCACAGCAGTGTCCCCTGTGCCCTGCTTTTATTTTGCTCTTCAGAGCAAGAAAAGTACAGTCTTACGGAAAGGAATTATTTTTATACTTTGGATTGTGTTGCTGGTTACAGTAACTGTGGTAAGGAAAAAGGAAAATCTTCCAAACAAATGTTAAAGGCTTGACAGTACTCAAAAAAATTCTTGTGTTGTCATAGCCCATCAAAGCTTCATGTAAAAGAGTT